GATTTAAAATAAACCTGAAAATTCTCCATTTGTTATTTATTTGTTTGTTTATTTGTTTGTTTGTTTTTTAATTCAACCTAAAGCTAGTTAGCCAGACAGCCACCGTTACTGATGTGCAAATAAAGGTCAAACAAAACTAGTGATAGACTGTAAGTAGTGAATACTGTGAGAGCACCCCCTGCTGTTTATCAGAGCGTCGCCGCTCCACAGTTTCAGTCTCCATTTCCCTAACGCTTTAGCCGAGCGTGCTAACGTTACTCCTCCTAATAAACAGACACACGTTCAGCTCTGTCTCCTCATTACTCACCACCATCACTGTAATATATCATCAACATAAACACACGAAGGTAATCAGAGGGGCGGTGGAGATCGAGTCTGCAGCGTCTGAGATCTTTAAAACGCAGAGTTAGAAAAGAAAAACACTCAAGTCAAACCACAATTTTCAGTGTAGATAAGTCTGACGTCATTATGCTGGTTACAGTGAACTGAGCTGCATCACTGCATAAAACAATAGAAGCAGACAGTTAAAACAGTATATTTTGTTTTTTCCATCTGAATTTACATGACCAAATTGTAAGGTAACTGCATGAAATAACTACATTTTTAAATTTATTTTATTTATTTTTTTGTCAAAGCTCCTCAAATTAACAGAACATGTTTTATACATATTGCTACATGCTTACAATTTACTGCTGAAAGCCAAAAATCTTAGATGCTCTTTGTATTATTTTATAAAAATAATGTTTACAGAGCAGATCACTGAAGAGACGCCATCTGTTTATAGTTTATAGCCCAGATTTGTGGAAAAATGGGTCGACTTTCAGTAGAAAAAAAAATTGTGAGTTCAGCTTCTTTTATTATAAGGGTTTAAAATGACATCACCCATCTATTTGACTGGAAAGAAGACAGTTACAGGCTCATACGACCCCCACCTTCTGAATGTAGCTTTTGAAATATGAAAGTTATGAAGAATATGACGAAGTGCATGTTGGAACCACTGGTAGTTCCAAGTAGTTGAAAAGCTATAGGGTTTATCTTAAAGTTCAGACAGAATTTAGGAAATTTCATTATCTTTCATTATATATGATGTATATTACTAAATAACATTTTAATAAAAAAAAAATGTAAAAATCTACCACTAAATAATATGTAGCCTAAAAATATTATTCATTTATTGTTATATTAGTCTTAGTCCAACTTTGCACTGTAACTGTTGTAAGCAAATGATGGTGAGGTTCTTCTGTCCCTTCTTCTCTAAAACTAATTCAGAATCACCACCTGAAGTCAACATAAACCAAACAGTAATAACGTTCTGGGGCCGTATTACAGAAAATTCTTAATTCTTAAAATTCTTCATCATATCTTATCTGTTTTGTCATCATGGCAACTTCAGTTAAGACTGAATTTAGGACAGAAGCCATTACAGAACAACAGTTCTTAAGTATATAATCTTGTTTCCAGATAAGAAAACGGTTTTACAGAAACATCCTAAGTTGCCAAAATATCCTAAATATTTTCTTAACTTTAAGATAAACCCAGAGCGTCTTAACCTCTGTTTAACCGTCTGTTTCTACTGTTTTATGCAGTGATGGGCAGCACAGTTCACTATAACCAGCATAATGACGCAACATTTATCTACACTGAAAACGCTGCTTTGAGTTGTGTTTTTTTCTAACAGCATTTTAAAAGCCCAGACGCTGCAGACTCGATCTCCACCGCCTCTCTGATTACCTTCGTGTGTTGATGTTGATGATGAAATATTACAGTGATGGTGGTGAATAATGAGGAGATGGAGCTGAACGTGTGTCTGTTTATTAGGAGGAATAGCGTTAGCGCGCTCGGCTAAAGCGTTTGGGAAATGGAGACTGAAACTGTGGAGCAGCGACTGATAAACAGCACGAAGCGCTGATACAACATTATAAACATTATTAATATGGCCCCTGATTTGCCCTCAATTTTGGAATCAATGAACATCAATAAACCAATAATACTGAGCTTAGCCATCATGAACAGATCAGTTAGATCCTCAATCAGCACTGAACAGAAAATAGTTCAGTTTTCAGTTCCTGCAGATGGAGGTGTGGCACTCTGCTGACCTCTGGAACAATATCACTGGGTCCACCACTGGGTCCAAATGATGACAAGACTGATACTAGAGAACTACAGCACTACTAAAACATCTTCTGAGTTTAGGTTACATCACTATCCACATATTTACTTGTCACCCCCACCTGTCATCACGTGAAAACGCTCAGCTAGCTCAGAGTTCCTCCTACATATTTCCATGTCATATTGACTTTAATAGGTTAGTGTTAGACTGGAGTTTCTCAGGAACTTCACACCGAACACAGACAGATAAAGGATTGGTGGAAAATATAGTTTATTTGTAAATACGGATGGCCACCGGAGGGGAACAGTCCAACTGTGAGGCCTACAGAGCAGTTTTAGTTGTATACAGTTCTAACAAAGGCATTGTGGCCAGGTGTGAGGTCAAGCCCCAGACTGCCTGGATGTGAACGTGGCTTGTCTATAGATGAGGAGCTGTGATGTGATGTGAGGACAAATGGTAGACGTCCAAATGACCGACAAGGCTTTTGGAATTACAGTATAGCCGACTGAGATCCAATGTCCTAAGTCTAAATAATATATATATATGTCTACACTAAGAAGTGTGAATAAGCCAGGAAATACAGAATCTAACAGCAGATTACTGATTTTTAAAAGTGTTTGAACAATAAAGGTGCAATAAAGGTGCAATAAAGAACATCAAATCAATATTCAGTAGTTACAAGTATGCATGTTGCTGCAATGACACCACTGCAGCATGTCGGACATGTTAGCTTAGCAACTACAGAGAGTGGATTTAATTCATTTAAATGTATCGACAATCAAATTTCAAATGTGATGCAGTGGTTTCATGCAAATTTTTATCATACATGTTTTTTTCAAATATTATGAATTAAAATGATAATTAGGGCTAATGGTCCATTATCATTTCCAATATAAGTTACAGGCTGTTAAAAAACGATGCAGCACAATTATAACTGTGTGGTGGGGCTGGGCAGTATGACAAAATGTATCATTATCATGATAAATTATGTGACAATACAACACAATTTGCTTTTCTGAACATATCTGGATGTCGTAAGTAGTTGTAGACACTGACCACCTACATGTTTTATTATAAAGAGAGCCAAAATGATCCTGTGTAACTGAATTTAGTGCTACACGGTTATGAGATATATTTAATAAAAATCATTGTGTTCAAAATGTTTGATAGATTTTTTTTTTAAATGTTGCACTACTGGTACTTTTTTCTCTGTTCCAGCTGATCAGATGTCTGAAAAAATAAATATCGTGACATATCGTTTATCGCGAAAATATCTTGAAGTATCACAACATTATATTTTTGCCATATGGTCCACCTCTATTGTCTACGACGGCGTTTAAGGGCCACTGTTAATAAAAATAAAAATAGTAGACTTTGAGAATAAAGTCGTACTATTTCGAGAAAAAGTTGTAGAATTCCGACATTAAGGTGGTTAAAACCAGGAAAGGTCAATATTGTGGCCAAAGTCTTTGCGAGGGGAAGCAGCGCCTCCTCGTGTTAAATGAGGGGCGGTGAGTTGGTGGAGTTCTACTTTCATATCGATTCACCCATAAAGAAACACTCAGTCTCCCTGTCTCTCCTGCACATCAGCACCAGCCTGTTATTAGTATAAGAACCGGCTGAAACGGCTGAGCAGGAAACTGTGTTTATCTAGAATAAAGAGCCAGACGGACTCGGAGGAAACTGTCTGTCTGTGTTGTTGAAGGAGAATCTCAGGCAGGGTCGTCTACACGGCTATCGGGGGCTCCATCTCCCCCCATTCAAAGAGGGCATGAAGTTTCACAGACAGTGAGAATGATGATCAAAATGATCCACAGAGAGACAGAAGTGAGTGGAGCTCCGGCACCAGGACAGCAACTGAGACCCCAACGCATTATGGCAGCCCCCCTACAGTACAGCAACCGAGACCCCAACGCGTTATGGCAGCCCCCCCTACAGTACAGCAACCGAGACCCCAACTCGTTATGGCAGCCCCCCTACAGTACAGCAGCCCCCTTTATCCTCCAAATATTACGAATTTATTCTCGAAGTCTACTATTTTCATTCTTATTAACAGTGGCCCTAAAACACCGTCGTAATTGTCTGGCCCCACTCACATCAAGTATGAGCAAAAACTCTCAAAGCAATTCAAGGCAGAGGTCAAGAGGACTCAGCACCTCTCTGTGTTTCCGCTTCAGAGATCACTCAAACTAAAATTCCATAACTGTGATCAAAACTGCAAATAATCGTTAAAAAAAGACAAAAGCAGAATCACACTAGATTCTTTTATATTTATAATTAAAATTAAAATCATTAGGTCTCTAAGCGCTTGAGCTACAGTAAAATGTTCATTGTTGAAAGTGTGATATTCATCAAATATAGCTGTGTTTATATGCTAGTGGTGTTTATACAGTGTAAACACCTGTCCTGCTCATGGAGGTGTTTAAAGGGGAATTCCACAGATTTTTCTAAATTTTTGCACAATTATTAACTCTTGTGTGGTGTTGATGTGTGTGTTACTCAGTGGTCTGCTGGACCCACCACATTATTGTTTATTTAAATCAATACAGCCATAACTATTACTGTAAAAATACCAGATGTTTAAAATATCACTAGTGTCCAGCGTAGGGTTCTCTTTTAGCAGCTGTAGCCAGTCAGCAGCCTGTCCAGGTTGTCCACCCTCACACACACACACTAACAGCAGGCCATGTAGGAGGAGAACAGAGTGAAGGACACAGCACCTCCACACTTTTACTCCACGCGGGTTCAGCCCAACACCACATGTGTAATATAAATGTGTGGGGGGTGAACAGAGTGAAGACACTGAAAATGGGTTATTTTATATGTTCTTCACAGAAAATGAGCAAAGACCAAGAATCTGAGGTTGAAATAATAATAAATCACATCATTTTTTCTTTTGGTAAACACTGAAAATGGGTCCCACAGACCTGAACACCACACAAGGGTTAATATGTAAACAGTCGTTCAGAGTGGTTTGGTGTGAAGTGTTCACAGTGGTGGTGATAGGAACCAGATGCCTGTAGTATTTCATGCTCCTTAAAGATTAGCTTCTACATTTAATGATTGCAAAGATGTCTGATGCCTGAGACAGAGGCGAAACAGAACCCAAAGAAAACAGCTTTCCAACTTTAAATATAAAAATCAAAAGCAACGTTTAGCTTCACTGCACACTGCATAGACACTGCGACCCCTGGTTCCCACCACCACTGTGGAGAAATCAGCCAGTAAGTTTCTCTACAATGATCCATTTCACACCAAACCACTCTGAATTACTCTGTTCACATCTCAATTGTTGAATTACACAGCAATTTTGAAAAATCAGTGGAATTTCCCTTTAACGCCATAGTCCTCTTTTGTTTTGCATGTTGCACAAGCAGCCATACTGTCCTTCGGGGTTACTGGGAGCAAGGTTAGTGCCTGGATTAGCAGTAATAAAGACTGATGCAATGAGCCAGCAGAGTGATAAACACCATCTTCTTCACTTTCTTTTCTCCACAATCTTCACAAACGTCTGGATATCTTGGGCCAGTAACTCTGGTTCTTCCATGGCGGCAAAGTGGCCGCCTCTGGCCATGAGGGTGTAGGTCACAAGCTTGTGGTACTTCTGCTTGACCCACAGCTTAGGAGTGTGCATCAGCTCATTGGGGAAAACAGCCACTCCAGTTGGAACAATAACCGGGATCCTAAAGGCAGAAGAGACGAGCAGGACAGTGAGTGTGTTTACATGCAATTCATAATCCGATAACTGCAGAAAATCAGATTTTGTCAAGATTTTGTCCAATTAAAGCTTTTATATGCACTTGAGTAATCAGATAATGGAGAAACTCCAGGTCTACATGAGTCAGACAGTAATCAGATTTCTGCTTTACAACCAGCCAATAAACTCACAGAAGACGATGTGACGTAAACATAACATAAAACTCAAACTTCATACCACTTCAACCTAAAAACACCAATCAGGCATAACATTATGACCACCTCCTTGTTTCTACGCTCATTGTCCATTTTATCAGCTCCACTTACTATACAGGTTCTTCAGTGGTCAGGACCCCCATGGACCCTCACAGAGCAGGTACTATTTGGGTGGTGGATCATTCTCAGCACTGCAGTAACACTGACGTGGTGGTGGTGTGTTAGTGTGTGTTGTGCTGGTACGAGTGGATCAGACACAGCGGTGCTGCTGGAGTTTTTAAGCAGTGTCCACTCACTGTCCACTCTATTAGACACTTCTACCTTGTTAGTCCACCTTGTAGATGTAAAGTCAGAGACGATAGCTCATCTGCTGCTGCACAGTTTGTGTTGGTCATCCTCTAGTCCTTCATCAGTGGTCACAGGACGCTGCCCACAGGACACTGTTGGCTGGATATTTTTGGTTGGTGGACTATTCTCAGCAGCACTGCTGTGTCTGATCCACTCATACCAGCGCAACACACACTAACACACCACCACCACCACGTCAGTGTTACTGCAGTGCTGAGAATGATCCACCACCCAAATAGTACCTGCTCTGTGAGGGTCCATGGGGGTCCTGACCACTGAAGAACCTGTATAGTAAGTGGAGCTGATAAAATGGACAATGAGCGTAGAAACAAGGAGGTGGTCAGAATGTTATGCCTGATCTGTGTTATGAACATACATAAGGTAGAAAATAAAGAATATTTAAATCCCTCATTTTGTCAAGCATGTATTTGGTTTCAGCGTCACTCGCTTATTTCCGGTCTGTTTTCGCACATGCTCAGACTGAGAAATCATTAAGTCAACCACATCATTAAGTTTTCTGTCCCTTATTCCTTTAAATACAGGTCAGTGTGAGATGCAACCAAAAATCGCCCTACTACATTTAGTTGCTGTCAGGCGAACATGTTAACTGCATTAATGCACTTTTTAAATGGAAACTGATCAAACCCTTGGCTTACTTTGAATGTGGCTGATCAAGTCCTTTGCCAAAGTTCTCCTTGTAGAAACGCATGGACGAAATGATGGAACGGCTGGTCCAGTAGATCATCACGTTTGTGAGCAGGTCATCCAGAGAGAACTTTCTGTGGGGGGAAGTGGACGGTCATTATATATGCTGGTAAAATACAGTGTAAAATACTGTGTAAAAATCAGAGACCATCTTTATTTTCCTTAACCCTTGTGTGGTGTTCAGGTCTGTGGGACCCATTTTCAATGTTTACCACAAGAAAAAACAATGCGATTTATTATTGTTTCAAACTCAGATTCTTGGTCTTTGCTCATTTTCTGTGAAGAACATATAAAATAACCCATTTTCAGTGTCTTCACTCTGTTCACCCCCCACACATTTATATTACACATGTGGTGTTGGGTGAACCTGCGGGGAGTAAAAGTGTGGAGGTGCTGTGTCCTTCACTCTGTTCTCCTCCTACATGGCCTGCTGTTGTGTCTGTGTGAAGGTGGACAACATGGACAGGCTGCTGACTGGCTACAGCTGCTAAAGGGGAACCCTACACTGGACACTTGTGATATTTTAAACATCTGGTATTTTTACAGTAATAGTTATGGCTGTATTGATTTAAAAAAACAATAATGTGGTGGGTCCACCAGACCACTGAGTAACACACACATCAACACCACACAAGGGTTAATGTCCAATCAAAACAGCGAAGTACACATTCATTTTTCAGCACCAGGAAGAAAAGCAGAAAACATATATGACAGAAAATTACTTAAAAGATTTTAGACTAAAATTTGGACTTATCGGTCAATAAAACCTCACTCCACATCTCAAATGTCCAGTTTCAATGTTCTACAGAACATTTTCATCTTTCTTTATTTTCTGCTTCTTTTTCTCAGTAACGGATTCTTGACAGGCTACACATCCTTTCAGACCCACAGCGCTGAGTCGTCTTCTCACAGTGGAAGGATGGACAGAAACACCTGTGGATGTTTTCAGATCTGAAGCAGCTTGATTTTCTCCTCTCTCTCAGAGATGAAAGCTTTAAGTGCTGTTTATCTCGTCAGTGTTTTGGGGTCCACCAGTTGTTAGGAATCCCATTTCTCTATATCAGTCAGTCTTCAGGGCTCCCCAGGTGGTCTATATTTTTATCGCCAACTCAACACATAAGAAAGATCTGGACCATCAGGGAGTCCCTGAAGACCAGGTTGGGAACCACAGCTCTGTCTTTAAATAATCATTTGAACTCCTTTTACCTTTCGCTCCTTATGCAAGTGGATTATCTTATATCTGCCCTCCTCAGATATGTCTCCTAAAAAATCAACTGTTTTGACTGGAAATTAAAAAAATAAAGGGTGGTCTTTTCTGCACAGCACTCTGTATGAACATCAACACCTAAGAAAGACCACAGAACCTGAAGGACTAACCTTTCCAGCCCTCCATCCTCAAGGTTTGTGAATTCATGATCAGTCCAGGTGGAAAACTTCTCCAGAATGTAGGCAGCCAGACCAACAGGGGAGTCATTCAGTGCACGTCCTGTAACACAGACACGGCATGAATTGCCAGCATGTTAAAAAAAATCAACTTAAAATCAACCTGAAATTGAAACTGATCTTTTTTTTACTTGTTAGTTCATTTCGCTGGTCACAGTAAGCACGATTCATAACGTCTCATTTGAAATGTCTCATCTCTGCTAAACTCTCTCATTTAGAAATACATACAGAGGAAAAACGTGGTTTGATTTCTGATTCATGGCTTTTATAAATACCAGCCACCCATGGACGAACAGCAGGGCAGGACGATCACATCCTTTGAAAGATCCACTGAAACTCTGAATTTGGACTTCCTGATTCACTCAAAATGCTTTGTTTCTTACCTGCGGTGTCCGGTTTGGTGGCTTGTATGTGCATGTATCCTGTCTCCTTCACAGCGTCCACCACCAGTTTCTGCATGCAGGGGAAGATGCGCTTAATGTCGTGCTCACTGAAGTCAAAGAGTTTGGGGAAGTGCCGACCCAGGAGCACGGACATCATCATCGGCAGGCTCGGTTTGGCAGGAGGTGCAAAGTTGACATGTAGACCCTTTACAGTTCTGAAATAAAATCAGAAATCAAAAATGTATACCAGGTAATGACCGTGAGCATTTTTCTACTTGTTTACTTTCTGCGATGTTTGTTTTATTATGTATTATTTGTTATTTTTTACATTATGTTGTGTTTTTTTTTATCCTAATCTAACTTTTAGTTTTTAATTTGATTATTTAACCATCCTAATTTCTAATTTGATTTTTTTTTTAATAATCTCTTTTAAATTTGTTTACATTTTTATTATGTTTTTAATGTTGTTTTTAAAAGCACTTTGAATGACAGCAGTGTTTGAAAGGCGCTATATAAATAAACTTGCCTTGCCATGTAACAAATCAGTCATAATTCATTTTTATGTGACCACTTTCCAACCTCTCTTTATCTCTTAAAATAAAACAATCTGTTTTTGTTCTTGTCTTTAAGACTTATATATGTTAATGACCTCTGTTCTGATTGACAGCCCTGTACTGTCCCTCGTCCAGAAAGCAGCCTGGGCTAAAATGTATGTAATAAAACTGTTCAGACTGAAATCCTCAGGAAAAATAATCTTCAGCCACTGCTTTTGGTTTTCTGATGGCACATACTGTCATTTATTTGTGTCCCAAACAGCCACAAACAGCCCAAGGTTTAACTGCTGTCAGTCTGCAGGCGATCTTCATTAACACTCCTCTTCACTTCAGTGTGAATGGTGAAGCTTCTTGTGAGCTTATGTATGTAAATATGTTCACGGTTGTGACCAGGGGCATTGGCTGGACATCCCAGCCCAGTTCACTGTGGGATTGTTCTGGTTTTGCTCACCCAGATTTTTTTAATTACAGTGGTGTGAAAAAGTGTTTGCCCCCTTCCTGATTTCTTATTCTTTTGCATGTTTGTCACATTAAATGTTTCAGATCACCAAACAAATTTACATATTAGACAAAGATAACACAAGTAAACACAAAATGCAGTTTATAAATGAAGGTCTTTATTATTAAGGGAAAAAGAAATCCAAACCTACAGGGCCCTTGTGTGAAAAAGTGATTGCCCCCTAAAACTAATAACCGATTGGCCCACCTTGGGCAGCAACAACTGCAATCAAGCGTTTGCGATAACTGGCAATGAGTCTTTTGCAGCGCTGTGGAGGAATTTTGGCCAGGAATCTTTGCAGAATTGTTGTAATTCAGCCACATTGGCGGGTTTCCGAGCATGAACTGCCCTTTTTAAGGTCGTGCCACAGCATCTCAGTCGGACTCAGGTCAGGACTTTGACTAGGCCACTCCAAAGCCTTAATTTTGTTTTTCTTAAGCCATTCAGAGGTGGACTTGCTGGTGTGTTTTGGCTCATTGTCCTGCTGCAGAACCCAAGTGTGCTTCAGCTTGAGGTCATGAACAGATGGCCGGACATTCTCCTTCAGGATTTTTTGGTAGACAGCAGAATTCATGGTTCCATTTACCACAGCAAGTCTTCCAGGTCCTGAAGCAGCAAAACAGCCCCAGACCATCACACTACCACCACCACATTTTGTTGGTATGATGTTCCTTTTCTGAAATGCTGTGTTACTTCTATGCCAGATGTAATGGGACATCCACCTTCCAAAAAGTTCAAACTTTTGTCTCGTCAGTCCACAGAGTATTCTCCCAAAAGTCTTGGGGATCATCAAGATGTTTTCTGGTGAAACTAAAACGAGCCTTTATGTTCGTTTTGCTCAGCAGCGGTTTTCGTCTTGGAACTCTGCCATGCAGGCCATTCTTGCCCAGTCTCTTTCTTATGGTGGAGTCATGAACACTGACCTTAACTGAGGCAAGTGAGGCCTGCAGTTCTTTGGATGTTGTTGTGGGGTCTTTTGTGACCTCTTGGATGAGTCGTCGCTGCGCTCTTGGGGTAATTTTGGTCGGCCGGCCACTCCTGGGAAGGTTCACCACTGTTCCATGTTTTCGCCATTTGTGGATAATGGCTCTCACTGTGGTTCGCTGGAGTCCCAAAGCTTTAGAATGGCTTTATAACCTTTTCCAGACTGATAGATCTCAATTACTTTGTTTCTCATTTGTTCCTGAATATCTTTGGATCGCAGCATGATGTCTAGCTTTTGAGGATCTTTTGGTCTACTTCGCTTTGTCAGGCAGGTCCTATTTAAGTGATTTCTTGATTGAGAACAGGAGTGGCAGTAATCAGGCCTGGGTGTGGCTAGGGAAATTGAAACTCAGCTTTCCAAAGATGTGATAAACCACAGTTAATTTATGTTTTAACCAGGGGGCAATCACTTTTTCACACAGGGCCCTGTAGGTTTGGATTTCTTTTTCCCTTAATAATAAAGACCTTCATTTATAAACTGAATTTTGTGTTTACCTGTGTCATCTTTGTCTAATATTTAAATTTGTTTGGTGATCCGAAACATTTAAGTGTGACAAACATGCAAAAGAATAAGAAATCAGGAAGGGGGCAAACACTTTTTCACACCACTGTAACCTGTAAAATGTGCACTTTGTGCAATATAGAATGTGAGGATCTACACATTAACAACAGTTGCAGGTATTCAGAATTCATCATTGGTGTGTAAACAAAGTGAGAACAGAAGAGTGAAAACTGCTTGCGTCAGAAAATGAAGTGTTTCCACAATAATGGCTATTAATTATATGCAACAATGCTGATTAATTACAGACAAACTATTGATCTCTACCTTGTATATATTTAACGATCTTTTAAAACGCCAAATAGTCAATTAGTAAAACTGTTCTTAAAACCAAAGTACAAACAGTCTTTTAAATATAAAAAGCATGCTGAAAACAAACCATTCCATCCAGGTAATTCTGTAAATGTCTTGATTAATCAACAAAATATCGGGTTTTCACACAATTATCTTTTTCTATTCCCTTTTCTCTGTAATGGCTTCCTGACAGCTACACATCCTTTCAGACCCACAGCGCTGAGCCGTCTTCTCACAGTGGAAGGATGGACAGAAACACCTGTGGATGTTTTCAGATCTGAGCTTGATTTTCTCCTCTCTCTCAAAGTGTCTCACGCATTTCCTGTCTTGACTGTGTTAGCTCTTACTTGGGCTCCAGCTGAGCCATGTTAGTGGTGATAAGCCAGCCCCAGTCTCCTCCCTGAACGTAGAACTGGCTGAAACCAAGCCGCTTCATCAGCTTATGGAACACTCGGGCCGCACAAACCGAGTCGAAGCCTGATTTAAACGACAAAACAATATTTGTAAAACAAACATTCTGAAACTGTAAGAGCTTAGTAAGTATTAAGGAGTGAATATGAGCGAATACAACAAAGTGGGTGGAATACAGACATTAAACAGTGTCTGGTATATATAAAAAACCGTGGTTGGTATAGTGTAGTGGGTAACACCTCTGTAGACTGGGGTTCAATCTTCTACCCAGGTAAGCACCCTACACTATACCCATAAGAGTCCTTGGGCAAGACTCCTAACACTAAATTCGCCCAGCTGTGTAAAATGATCAAACTGTAAGTCACTCTGGATAAGAGTGTCTGCCAAATGCCGTAAATGTAAATGTAAACAGAAAACCAGAAACAGATGCAGAAAGTAGAGCTGGTGAGTTTATATACCTTTCTTATGTGGTGCCTGTGAGAAGCCATAGCCAGGTATGGATGGACAGATGACTTCAAAGGCGACGTCCTCAGGGCTAGCTGGCTCGGTGAGGAGGGGCAGAATGCCGTAGAACTCGTAAAAGGAACCGGGCCAGCCGTGCACCATCATCAGAGGAACACTGCGCGCTCCTTCTGGCAGGTTCTTGGGCTTCGCATGGACGTAGTGGACATCAATGCCTTGCGTTACAGATGTTAATGAAACATGATAAATATGTGATTAAGTACTTTATTACTTCACCTTATTAATTACCCATTTTCTCACTAATCCGTTGCTAAAAGGGCAGAAGGTCAATGTGCTTGGCTGTGGTAAACAGGCGGCATAGCTTGGCTGGTCAAGTGTAGCAGCCAAAATGATACACCCTTTTTAGTGAAACCGTTGGATCTATTTAGAACTATGAGTTCCATATAGAACTATTTAATGCTTAAAAGGTTCTTTGCAAGGTGAAACGGTTCTCCAGATTGATGGAGAATGTGTTGTATATGCTTCTACATAGCACCAAATAGGGTTCTTCTGTTGTTACAAGCTTGACATATTGTTATGCTGTCAAGCTTGTAACAACAGAAGAACCCGTTTGGGTGCTATATAGAACCATATACAACACATTCTCCATCAATCTGAAGAACCATTTCACCTTGCAAAGAACCTTTTAAGCATGAAACCATCTTTTTTAGGTGTGTATAAATCCCATTGGGAGCCAAACAGCATGTTTCTCCATAGACTTCCTTTCAAAACAATTGTTTTTCCAAATAACGCTTGAGTTTTCATTTCTATTTCTTTCTCTAATGATTTTGTTGTTGGAGGTGCTTAAAGTGACGCATTTCCGAGTGAAACAGTATCGAGGAGGGTTTATCAGTTTTCAGTGGATGGTAGGTGGGGTGCTGGGAAAGGGAGGTGAAATATGATATTAATGGTTAATATTACTCCCTGCTCTCTTGTACACAGTGACGTTATTGAACATCAGAAGACTTTTTGATGGACATTATGATGGAAAGCTACAGGAAAACAGTCAAATTATATGACATAAACTAAAACGAATCCAGTCAGCACTGTTTTTTTGTTTCACCCAATTTTCTCATCAATTCTCTCCCCCTGTCCTGAAGTCAGATTCTTATTTGCCAGTTTCTTGTTCGAATTTTCCCGTTCCACCTTAAATGGTGCAGCTTCAGGCACCAAAAAGTGACTGCTGCACCATTTAAGGTGGAACGGGAAAACTCGAACAAGAAGCTGGCGAATAGGAAGCCAACTTCAGCTTCATCCTTCTGTGCATTAAGATTAGAAGTGATTCACACATTGATGGATTTGCTGATGTGTCTGATTGTGTTTCTCGCGCTAAACTCAGTTTTACCGTCTGGTGCAGACTGAACACTTTCTGCTGGTCCGGACGGCTAATCATCACGATCAGTTATTAAAGAAGTAAAAGCTACCGAGAGCAGATCTGTGCAGCCCAGATTAGTCTCTGTCTGAGGATTAAACAGATTTGGTGAAAATCGGTGGAGTAGTAAGGAAGTTGTGGCTGGTTTAATCCTGAGACTCATCGTCTCTCAATACAAGTGAATTTGTTCACAAGCGGATCTTGACCTCTCCAACATGGCGGACGCCGAACTGTGGGTCCCCAGGACTGGAGTTGAAACTCACTGTTTTAAGGTAAAACAGATCTGTCTGCTTACAGTCAGTGTGAATAAATGGAATGATGTAAAGAATAAAGCCTGTCTGACCTTCCTGAACACACCATCCCAAACACAGTGTGCTAGTGCTAGAACCCACCTTCGATTTTGGTTTTGAAGTGCGGGTATCTGTTCAGCTTGTCCACCTGTTTCCTCCAGTCAAAGTCGTTCCTCCAATATGAAACAACCTTCCGCAGGTAGCTGGAGTTGAAGCCGTAATGAAACTGGCTGTCTTCCAGAGAGGGGAACGAGCGCGTCTGATCAATCCTGCGATGCAGATCCTAAGAATGAAAGAACAGAGATGGTTATATAGAGTTTCAACAGTGCAGAGAGATCAGGATTTTTCAAAGAATTTGCTTTCAGGTCGGTATGTTAATCAATACTGCAATAAGTTACAACATAACACATTTTCCTGAGGTATTGTAGGTATTTCTATGTATTGTAAGTATTTCTATAACTGTTCGCTTGCAGGCTTGATAAAAAATAGAATTTAAACCATCTATAGGAGTGTAAACAATAGTTACGTGTTACTTAATCTAAGAATCTCAAAGCATCAAGTACAAAGGAATCAAGTATAATCATGTATCATAATTTGTTTGTTATGTATTTTCTTACTAGTCTGTGCAAACAATTGATTTATCCTCTTTTTGTTCTTACTATTGGCAAATTATTGTACTTTCAGTTTTTTTTGTTCTTAAGTGCTTTTAAGTGGTTTAAGTGCACTGTTCTGCAACTTGTCTGCAAACCTCAGAAAAACAAAATACCATCATATGTACCGCTTGTGAGTTCAGACCATGCCTTCAACATGGCGGTGGTAGTATGAGGGAAGACTGATTGAGGGAGGGGGGAGAACTCAGAGAACTTGGGCTGGAGTTCTGGGCAGCTTCTGCCTGTAGCTAGAAGGCCAGATCCCCCCTCATAGCTGTAGTAGGCCTGATGCAGGATAGAGGAACAGGAAGGAGATGGGGTGGCGGTGGGGATTGCGAACACGTTGTCACGGGAACGGAAGGAGAGGATGTGAATTTATAGGGCGTTAGGTTGGACGAAGGAGGGGTTTCAGAGATGTTCCTCCCCCAAAACTTGTTACATCATTACTACATTAATATTATATTGTATTATATTAACTACATTAATATCTATTTAAAATGGGCCAAAATAAATACTTAATATATTAATACTTGAATGAATACTTAATATATTTTCAAAAATAAAATAAATAAATAAATAAGTATATAAATAGGCTACAGTACACAACATCATGCACATTACAATAGACTATATTACATTATGCACATTATGCTGCAGTGCATGCTGGGGATTATAGTGCAGCGTGTTGCAAAACAGGCTCATTTTCATAGAAAATGAAAATAATTTTGCGGGCTAGATAGGATTATGCTAACGAGCCTGGTCCGGCCCCCCGGGACCTTGTGTTTGACACATGGGTCCGAAACCTTCTCACCTCTAGTTCTTCTTGAGTGGTCTCCACTCTGAAGGGCCGAATGCTGTCATCTTCCGGACTTTCTAATGGCGTTCCCACACCCCACCACCCATCCTGCGTTTTCAACGATTCCTGCTTCTTCCTCAGAAGCACCACAGCGATCACCACCCCCAAGATCACCGCCCCGGCCAACTCCACATACATGGTGTGAGCACCTGGGGGTGATAAAGAATGTTACCAAACGTCATACTATTCACTGGAGTACAACGCTGTCACAACCTCGTTATTCAGTAACGCTGCCATGTGATGCTATGACTACCTGTTGGGCTGAACGATTTGTGGAAAATATCTAATTGCGATTTTTCCGACTAATATTGCGACTGCAATTTAAATCGCGATTTTTTTTTTAATTGAGATTCACCTTTTTTGTCTTGAGGCTCGACCCCTGAACGTAGTGTGTCAAACTGCCAGTAAGCTGTGGTTGTGATGTCACAACACACAGAGGTTTGGTTGCCTCTGATTGGTCTAACTCACCTACAGGCATTTCCCAAACTCTTATTAGGTTCCGTTTCCCCTCTTAAAACATCTTAAAACAACTTAAAACAACGTTTTTGTTAATGTACACACTTAATAAAGATGGTTCTTCAAGGGCTTTTAGTAGACAATGGTTCTTTACAGAACCATAAACACTCAAAGAACCTTTTGCATTATCAAAGATTGATGGAGAAAGTGTTGTATGTGGTTCTACATAGAACCTTTTTGAAACAAGTTCTCTATAGGACCACAATGTTCTTCTACTGTTATAAGCTTGACACCAACAAGCAACAAAGCAGCAGTACCAGAACCCTTTTTGATGCTATACAGAACCACATACAACACGTTCTCCAATCTGAAGAACCATTTCACCAGGCAAAGAACCTTTTATGCATGTAAATGGGTTTCTGAGTGTTGATGGTTCTGTATGGAATGACTGTCTTTACTAAAGGACCATCTTTTTAAGAACGTTGAAGAGCTGTATTTTAAGAGTGTCGGCTATAATTAAAGAAAATTTCAGCTCCTGCGATTTGAAAATTGCACCGCCTTAAATTCCATGGAGTTCCATGCACAACATAAAGGAACTTATGAGGATTCTAGGACGTTGTGACAAAGTACCGCCAACGTTGCCACAATGTTGTCAGATAACGTTGTCACAACATTCTGAGGAGTTACATTTCAATGTTGTGACAACATTGTGGGCACCAAAACAACAGGTTGTCACAACATTGTCTCAACGTAACTGTGTTTGGAGGGAAAGAACCATATTTAAAAAAGAGATTTGGGAGTGTGAAGAACACTTTAAAGGTCTGAAGAACCTTCACATAAGGTTAAGGATCTATACCAATGTAAGGGTTCTTCCTAGAATCTTCACACTATGTGGAGGTTCTTTAAGCATCTTGCACATCTTATTTAGAAACACAGTTTTCTAAAGAACCAAAAACTGAAAGATGTTCTGGGCAACTAAAAGCGGTTCTTTTATGGCATCATGCAAAGAACCCATCTTAGCACTACTGTGCTTATCTTGTCTTTAACTAACATTAAACTAAATATCAATATAAATGCAATAATTCATTTTCAATAAAACTGAAAATTAACTTTAACCTAACTTTGCCTTCCACCCTAAACCTCTTCCTAATCCTAATTTTTTCCTAAATCCAAAATTCCAATAGATGGTTTGATAACCCCTTAAAATCATTATTTCATAACAAGGCTTATTATTCAGTTACTACAGTGACTTCAATGCAAATTAGCTGAACTATTCTCAGGTTATAGAAGTGTGTAATAAAACCTTAGGCCTGCCAGTGGGCACCCCTGACCATTTAAGGGGTGCCCATTTCTTCTTGAATGACTGGACTGCAAAAAAGAAAAGACACCTCTAACTTAGACACTCTATTCTGTATTTGTCAGACCATGATTAAGGATATATGACTGTAGGGGAATCAGCAGCACAGCTCCACACATTTCAACACCGTGAACCAGTTCTCCCCATCCCACTAAGGCATATTCGTCAAGTTACAGAAGAACCTTTGAAAATATGTAGGAAAATGGAACAAAGTTCCTCTATTGCACAACATTGCAGCACTGGGAAAGGATTAGGGAAAGAATGAGAGGGACAAGGCCACATGCTCCAAACACACGCAGGCCAAAATGCATGACAAAGCGTTTCTCTGTTCAGCTACTCATACCCAGCAAACACCGACTGTATACTGAGTTATACAGCACTGACTGGAATACTTTTGCGCAGGAAAAGTCAATAAACCAAAGTATTCAATACTTAGACTATGATGTCTGTACAGTGGTGGTGACAGGAACCAGGGGTCACCATGACTACAACACAAATATAGACATTTTATTCACTATCCACCACCACCGGTGAACCTACACGAGTCTTCTTTTTCGTTTTTATATGTAATGTTGATGATGGAAATAGCTGAAAATATGAAAAAATCTTTTCTTTGGGGCCTATTTTGCCTTACAACACCCTGCATGTACCCTTCCGCCATGAACGGATCAAAATAAATGGATTAATTAGACGTTTCAGGCCAAAACCTTATCATGAAACTAATGCATCAGGAAGCATGTTCATAACCTTGCTGTGTAATAACTGTCTGTGAGGGAGCTTTTAGAGGCGGACGTCTGGTTCCTATCACCACCACTGTGAACAATTTTGACTCTGTAAGTTTCTCTGGAACAGAGCTTTTCACACCAAACTACTCTGAATGACTTTGTTTGCACCTTAACCATTTAAATACGTGGAAAAAAGGGTGGAGTTCCACTTTAAACCCATGAATACTTTCTAATATATATATACATATACATGTATAATATATGGGGGGAGAGGGTTGTAAATCAAACAGTTTAAACATTAACGCAGCGTGTTTTTCAGGCTATACTTTGCACTTTAGCACAGATTACAAGATTATATTCACTCGTTTAGGTTCTTTAGCTGCAAACCAGGATCACACAGTTTGTGGAGATGACGCAGCTCAACAGTCTGTATGTATTAAAGACAATATACGAAGTTATCCGGCTTATTAGTTATTTACTACTCGTATCTTCCAGTTGTGCTTATCTTGTTACAGTCCTCTAGTTTACAGAATGAGTTATCGTACCGTTACAGCGCTCAGTGAAGGTTTTATTGCCTGTAAAGTTATTATAAGGCTGCAGTGTTGTTTATACGCGCTTCATGAAGCAGCGCCGTCAGAGGGCGGAGGGCGGACAGTCTTACCCGACTGAAGAGCTGCTGCTGCGGTCTTTATCCGAGCTGAGCTCCGACTCTTTTCACCGCTTTCCACACAAAACTATGCGCACATTACACAACAAACACCGAGCTTTCCGGATTTCAGTCAGTCTGCGCAGCCCCGCCGCGCTCTAACGGAGACCAGTTACCGAGATCAACTCGGGCTGCATTGTGGGAAATGTAGTTTGTTTCTGGGCTAATCCAGTTAGCTCAGTGGCTCTCGGTTTTCTTCTTGTTTTCTGCTCGCAGGGCCACTGTTACGACTTTATTCTCGAAATATTACGACTTTATTCTGGAAATATTACGACTTTCTTTCTCGAAATATTACGCCTATTTTTCTCGAAATATTACGACTTTCTTTCTCGAAATATTACGCCTATTTTTTCTCGAAATATTACGACTTTATTCTGGAAATATTACGACTTTATTCTGGAAATATTACGACTTTATTCTCGAAATATTACGACTTTATTCTGGAAATATTACGACTTTCTTCTCGAAATATTACGACTTTCTTTCTCGAAATATTACGCCTATTTTTCTCGAAATATTACGACTTTATTCTGGAAATATTACGACTTTATTCTCGAAATATTACGACTTTATTCTGGAAATATTACGACTATTTTCCTCGAAATATTATGACTATTTTTCTCGAAATATTACGACTATTTTCCTCGAAATATTACGACTTTATTCTGGAAATATTACGACTTTATTCTGGAAATATTACGACTTTCTTTCTCGAAATATTACGACTTTATTCTCGAAATATTACGACTTTATTCTGGAAATATTACGACTTTTTCCTCGAAATATTTCCACTTTATTCTGGAAATATTACGACTTTTTCCTCGAAATATTTCCACTTTATTCTGGAAATATTACGACTTTTTTCCACAAAATATTACCACTTTATTCTCGAAGTCTACTATTTTTATTTTTATTAACAGTGGCCCTAAAACGCCGTCGTGCGCTCCTGATTCAGTTTAAGAGGTTGATTAAACCTGATGGACTGGATTCAGATTATTTATGAACTGAGTAAAATGGACACGTATATAAAATCGACGTTTTTGTGCTTCTCAGTAGTCTAAAGTTACTTGAGCTCAAAATCGAAGCATGCAGGCCAGGGGTCGCAGCCCAAATCATAAGAAGAGCCATTTTGTTCTTTCAACAGAAATCAAACCACCTTGGGAGCCACATTTAATGTCCATTTTACCATCTCGGCTGTAAATGTGTCTCAGTGTGTGCTGATGTTCTAATATAGGCTAACAAATTTAATATAAACGAAAACGCAGATTTACTTTGCTCTGCTTTAAGCTTTAGCTCAGCTACAGTCGCTTTTTCTTGCAAAAGTATTATAGTTTCTCGTAAAAATGTCTCCTGTTGTTCGACTTTTTAGAGGCCCAAGTCTCACTCGTTGTCAAACGCTAAAAAGTCACGAAACTGAAGTCAGTTTTTTGTTCGAATTTTCCAGTTCCTCCTTAAATGGCGCAGCAGTTAGTTATATTCTGGCGTCTCAGGCATCATTTAAGGTGGAACGGGAAAATTCAAACGACTTCAGCTTCGTGACTTTTCAGTGTTTGTCAGTTTCTCGCTGCAGATTAAACGTATCTGGAAACCAGCTGGAGTGATTATAAACACAAATAAGTCCATTCGTCTCCAAATTATCGATGTTTATCTTAAATCTCTCTCTTTGCCGTTTCGTTAGCTACTAGCTAGGCGAGAGTCTTGTCTGCGTTGCTATGGTGACCAGCAGTCTGCGCTGATCTTCAGGGTTAAAGGGTGAATCAGCAGTTCTACATTAACTCCAGAGTTTAAGACCATTTATTGTTAAACTGTGTTGAACGATCAGCAGAGCTTTATTTTACTGTAAAGGAGAATTATTTTATTATTACCTACAAACCAAGTTCAGCTGTGGAGCCACAGGTTAAGTGGCATCTATTCATATTATAAACAGGAAAACAGCGTGTTTACGAAAGGAGGTAGAGGTAATATTGAATTTTTTTATAGTTAACTAGAGAACCCTGATAAAAAAGACAAAAAAAGAGGACTAACATTTGACTGGGGAAAACTCGAGATCATCATATATAAAACTTAAATGTACTGTTTGTCATGCTGAATTATATTGATCAAAACTTCCACATTAAAAGTCCTGAATTTGTGAACAGTCCAAACACCCCCAATATGTGCATCAGTTTTAAAGAAAGTCACCTCTTCGCCCTTTACTACCTTCGTTTTGTCAACTTGCCTTTTTTGATCAGATTAAAATACAAATATCAAAGTTCAAAAAACTCTAAATTAAAGCAACAACTGTAAAAGAGTCATCAGGGAGTTGCTTTTGTCCCATCCGCCAAAAACATCTTGCTAAACCAGTATTTGGCAATCTGTAAACTAAGGAGCAGAGCAAAATAAATAAATTAATAAATAAATAACTGAAGGCAGATATTAATGCCATGCACTTCATTAATTGCATTAACTCCTATGTAAAATGGATTCAGCCTATACAGTGTGCACTCTCAGATTATTAAATGTATAACAAGTTTTTTCACATTCGTAATTCTCCTCAAAACCATAGTACTGCACAGATATCAGTTGGTGGTTTGCAGCCATGATGCAAGTGTTTTAATTGATAATGGCAGATTACATGAATTGTTGTGTAACTTTTTGCATATTACAGTCACAAAAGTAGGCAAAATATCACCTCTACATGAAGACAGCCACGCAAAAGTCTCAGATGCCAAAAAAAATAAAACATTTATTTCAGGTAAATGCATTCATTACTGACAGACTTGAATCAATGTGGGTTCCAATGATTGCTGAGATTCAGCTCCAGTCCTGCAGGCCATCTGCAACAGTTTTGAGCTTCCCCTGCTCCTGAGTTATAGCAATAACCTCTGATGATGTTGGAGCAGAAAAAAAACAAAACAAAACTGTGCAGTGCATTTGTGCCTCCAGGAGCAGAGCTGGTAAACACTAATAATACTATTCCAAATGAACTGAGAAGTCCCTGCTTCTATGTATAGACTATTCAATAAACTGATTGTGACTGCAAACTGGTCACTCAACGATGTATAAAGAATATAAGGGAGATCGCTCTCTGCCTAATAACATTTAAGTCCATCCTGGATCAGAAAATAAATATCGACTCTTCCCATCGTGAGAAGCTGTGTGCAAACGAGGATATCATTTTCCATTCTGTCTCCCTCACTCTCCCAGTTCTCATATTCCAAACGCCGGGCCATTAAATTCCATGCTCTTCAAATTAACGTCAGACGAGCCGACACACACTGCTGTCCAAAAACAGCAAAGTCCTCCAGGATCACTCAGTCCGTTTCCATCGCGCCACTGTGGGACTCTTTGGAGACCATTAATCTCATCAGTTTCCCGTGCAGCTTCTCGATCTTCTTCACGTCTTGCGCCTGGTCGGTCTTGTACTGCAGACACTGCAACCAGAGAGGGACACAGTGATTCATTCATGCAACGAACGGCTGAGTTACACAAATCAGTTCAGTAAAAAACACAAAAAACAAACAAAACTTACCACAGAGTTATCTGTGACTTTCATACAGAGGTTCCCGTCGCAGTGTCTGTACTTGAGCACGACTCTGACCTGGACAGAGAAACAAGCAGGTATGAACACAAGCCAATGGAATTACAGGGTTTTAGGCTTAGTAGCCCATAATTTCTGAAGTACAGTAGACTGACCATCGCATGTGTAAGGCTACTTTAATGTGTAACCAAATAAACTATTTTGATTACTATCAGAGAAGGATTAGGGTCTCTTCATGAGAAAAGAGCAAGACGCCACCCCACCCGACCCCCCAAACAGATCTAGAACACTCTGGTCTTTAAGCTGCCAACAAAATATCAGCAAATTACTTAAAACAACTCCTGCAGTTTCTGTACTTCTCCAGATCAGGAAAGGAATGCTTTTATACACTTTAACCTCCCAGGATTTGTGCGTAGGTGTGGAAAAAGTTTAAGGAATTTAACCTTTTCATGGCCAACGGCTGAACTCAGTATGATAAAGAACTTGTTCTGTGCTCCGTATCCCAAAAGCATCTTAATACAAAGATGATTCTTAATTAGAAGAGCAAGCATCACAGTGAACACTCTCTCTACCAGTTAACACAATCTGAACGCCAAGAAGCTTTTGGGGAAACTGGACCTGAATTTAAAGGAGAGCCACCCAATGTCCAAAAGCCACTCTGTGACCAAATGAGAGAAAAAGTTTCTATACTATAAATAACTCACCAAATTCTATATTTACACCCTTTATCAACAATATAATAACTTACACTTCTAAAACTCGATTCAAAGCCCTCCTACTTTCTTTAGGGGTATATCGTTTTGGGTTTTAGGCCCTCGGCCTACCACAAATACTGCACTTTGGGCGCCCAAGACAAATTCAATGACATTTTGTATATATATATGACTGTTTTTGTAATTATGTAATGCATTAAGTTACATTTTTTCTTTCTTTCATTCTCAATTAAATTTGGATTGTGTACTGTTTTGTTAAAGCAAGCAGTTTCACGAGATCACAATTGGTATATTTACTATGATAAATTAAGTGCTAAAAGCTCATTTTTAATAGTTTGGGCCATTTCCAAACAGATTTGTGCTGAGGTGGGCTCAAAAAAACATTCAGACCAAAGGAAATTTAACATTCAGATATGGACATAAACGTGAGTAAACTCTGACGTGAGTGATGCATGTACTTCTTGTAAAGGGGCTACAGAATCCATCGAACACTTATTCTTTAACTGTTTTCTCTTACTCGTTCTGGGTCGATCTCTTTTTAGACCTGAAGAGAAAGACTGGTAAAGAAATCCCCCTCAGCCACTGTTTATCTTTTTGATGACCTTTTGTTTAACCCGAATGAATGTTTTATAATAAACCTGATCATAATAACAGCTAAATAGGTGAAATTTTCCAGAAAATACCTTCATACATCACGTTTGTATGCACAGATCTGTGTAATCACACTTCTACATTAGTGAATTGGCTCCAGCAGCAAAATAAGAGACACTGTAAATCCGTTTTTGTGTTAAAGCTTTGAAATTTCATTTAAATCCCAATGATGCATCCTATTGATATACTTGTTTGGGTATATATATATATTTATATATATATATATATATATATATATATATATATATATATATATATTACTGTTATTTTATATTGTACGGAGCCCCGCTGGTCACCAGTTATGTCACATCCTGTATAAATAAAAATAACACGTGGCCACGACTTAGTAAGGCGTGGGAATGAGATGATTAAGTCGTGGCCACGACTTAGTAAAGCGTGAGAACAAGATCCTAATGCGTGGCCACGACTTTGTAAGCCGTGATCTCGTTCCCACGCTTTACTAACTCGTGGCCACGCATTATTTTTGGTTATACAAAATGTCACAGCGGGGCTCCGTAATATTGCATTTACTTTACTTGAATTATAAATCTGATATTTTTTCATATAGTGTTTTTAACCCATAAACGTTCATGGCTTTGTGTTTTGTTTGTTTATTTCAAGCATATAACCATACATAAAATACTATATATATATATATATATATATACACACACACACACACATATATGGTTATATGCTTGAAATAAACAAACAAAACACAAAGCCATGAACGTTTATGGGTTAAAAGCACCGATTCTGCAGACCAAACAGCTGGAAGCAGATCTTAAATCAGCCCCTTCACTTCATTAAAGAAACCCCACAAAGCGAAACAGTGCCTCTGCTTATTTAAGCGCACTTAAAGTCTTTATTACACGGCATAAACAGCCGAAACACACCTTAATATGACTGTTATTAAACTGTAACTAACGCGGCTTCAGGGCTCGGCCGAACTTAGTTAGCCGGTTAGCCAAAGCGGGTCGAACAGCTTCGTTACCTTCATCGGGTCCGTCAGGTAGAGCTTCTCCGCCGCTCGGGCAAACTCTTCCCACGTCTGATAGAAAGGCATGATTTAGAGACGATAACCGAAGACAGAAACGATAAAAAAATGGAAAATATAACTTGAGTTTTTAGCAAAACCGCCTACAGCGACTCTACACCACCTCAGCACAGAGCCCGAACGAGGCTAACACGGCCTTATACATCTAAAAGAACAGCGCTGATTGGACCACTGGAAACGCGGCGACCAATGAAAACTCGACTTACTGCCAAGCAGCTCTGCGCATACGTAGCTTAATGTGTGAAAAAGACCAGACTGTCATAATAAGAGTACGTGGCGCTTTTTTTTAAAAAAAAAAATACAAAATAACAGCATGAAAAAATGTCAAATTTATAATTCAGTAACGTAATTGCAATGTTTGTGTATTTATTTATATATATATATAAATAAATAATATAGATTTTTTGTGCCGTGTCCAAATCTGCTTTCCAGTTGGTACATTTTTATTGAATTTTCTGGAAAATGCTGCTGCACACTCTTGTTTGACTGTGTTCGAGCATATTCTAACACACACAGTGCCTTTTCATTTCTAGTGAACGCCGTTCTTCAACCTGAAAATAAACATTAAAAATTAAACTTGGTTAGTTTTTACACATTTTGTTAAAATTTGAGATCATTTGAGGGAGAATTGGCTACGTTAGACTACGAAATGATGTCAATTTTTTATGTCAACATACAGTGTGTCCCAAAAAAACTGACATAATTTCGTAGTCTAATAACGTAGCCAATAACATAGATGTGTAATTACATTTATCGGTATGTACAAAGACATATGCTACCGTTCAAAGGTTTGGTGTACAATGTAGACTTAAATATCATAAAGTAGATATCAAAAGACATTTTTAGATTATATTCAGTATTTTAAGTTATTAAATGGTGAATAATATACTGCAATTATTTATTTACAATTTTTGTCAAGATAAAATAAGATAAGATAGTAAGATAATCAGTTATCGGGTCAAGTTACTTACTACATTCTGGAAATAATTTTATTAATTATAATTTAATTCTTGCTTTCTCTGTTGTTTTCAAATCATACCTTCAATTATATGCAAAAGTTGGGCACTCCTGGCCAAAGAAGTGAACACAACCCAAAACCTGTGCAGCAAACTGTTCTAAAATAACATTAAGCTGCAAACGTTAATGTTACCGTAATGTTAATATAACAGTTACTTTATATTTGTTTCACTTTAAAAATAGGAAAAAATTAAATAGTACTTGTAGAATGTGCAAAAATTTGAATACTCCACTAAGTCTATACTTAGTAATACCCCTTTGGCAGATATTACAGCTTGCAAAAGCTCCTAGTAAACAGGTTGGAATTTTTCTATTTTTGTTTTTGTAATTTTCACCCACTATTCTTTACTTTTCTAGTTCTGCTATATTCTTAGGCCGTCTTGCGGAGCATGTTTAAGATCTAAGAGGTTGTGAGGGCCGTTCCAAAAACTTCAGTTTGTGTTTCTTGAACTAGATAATGGGAGACTTTAAGGTATGTTGTAGGTATGATTGTCTGGTTGTAAAAGCCAGTCTGTTTTCAGCATCAGTATCTTGACTGTCTGCGTAACACTTGCTTCAGAATGTGCTGATATATTGCTGGCTGCCACCCAACAAAGCATAACAGATCCACCCCAATGCTTAACAGTTGGCAAGGTGTTCTTGTCATCAAATGCTGCTCCTTTTTCCTGCAGACATATTGAGCCTGTTTACACCTCTGGATCATATCTGAGCTAAACTTTGTACAAAATTCATTTAAACTGTTCACTAAAAATCACCCCCCATATGACCAGATGAGATTCACTTCTACTTTTCCCATGTGAAAAGCATGTTTAACTCATACAGCACTTCTGTTTTACTACTGTTTAGGTTTTTCCCTGTTATAATGCATGGCTCGGACGCTTGGCTTGGACCCCTTTTTCAGCCCATAGCTCCTTTAGACTCATACTTTGCACAATGTAAGATTATAGGTATGACTGTGTATGTGTGTGTATGAGTGAGTGAGTGATGGTAGGAATGCATGTTTTATTTTATCTTCATTTTATTTTTTTGTATTTTATCTTATTGTATTTTATCTTATTTTATATTTATTTTATTTTATTTCATTCACTACATGTAACTGTTTGATACTGTGCACTGTGAGCTCCTGTAACCAAAATCAAATTCCTTGTATGTGTAAGCAAACCTGGCCAATCAACCTGACGGCTGAATCAACCCAGCTTGATTCTGATTCTGATGAAGGCTTTTGGTTTTGGTGTAACTGCAGCCTTACACACCCGCCATCTTTCGATGTTTATCCCTTCATGTGCTGGTCAGCGCTTGGCAGATGCATTTCCGCTCATGTTATTGTATAAAATTGATTCTATTTGAATTCAAAATGCAATCAAGATCCGTCTCTGACCACCTCCGAATGTGGTCTGAGTGATCTGATCATAATCCGTCACAGTGCGTCCTGAGGGTGTTAACAAAATGTGATCTAATCACCAAAAATGCTGTTAAAGCAAGGTGTGAACAGGCCCATCTTTGGTGATTGTGGCCTAAGAGCTCCATTTATGCTTCATCAGTTGGCAGCACTTCTTTCCAAAAATAACTGCTTATCTAGATGTTGATGTTTCATCACTTTGCCATGCAGATCATGTTTGTGGAAGCAACAGTGCACAGGAGAACGATGCACCACCACTCCAGGGTCAGCTAAGCCTTCCCGCAGGTCTTTGACTCCCACAGTTCCCCTTAACTGTCATTTTTTAAAGACATGGACAGTGGAAAATGTGAGCCGGACGCACTTTGATATCTCTTTACAGCCTTCCTCAGCATCAATTAGCTTAATATTCAGATCCTTATCCAGTTAATTTAAGAGTTAATTTCTCATTAAGAATGGTTGGTGAATGAGGCCCATTGTTACTAGGTAGCGTTAGCCGAGTGTTAGCACAAGGTTTGATGAGTCAGAGAGTTGTAATTAGCTGAAATTCCTAATGGCAATTCTTAACCTGCCTAACCAGTCCTGACAACTCAATTATGGCTTAAGTTTTGAGACTATGTGTCTGAATTACTACTGAATAATTTTCTATTTTTAATTTACTCAAATATAAAGTAACTGTGCATTAAATTACTGCGCAGAAAGTGTTTGTTTTTAAAATAGTCTGCTGTTAACTTCATTTCAAAAATCAACCAAATATGTAAATTAGCCAGGAATTAAATATGTAAATTAGCTAAACGGTATACTGTACAGCTCCGTTCATCATCCTGGTCACATCTAAAATTTCCTTTTTTCTTCCAGACGTCTACTAACTATTTGAAACCTGGGAAGTTCTACAGGGCTGGCATATTAGAATCATTGTATACATTTATTTGTAAGAAAATAGTGATTTTTGTTAAAAAATTCCACACTAGGCAGCACAGTGGCGCAGTGGGTAGCGCTGTCGCCGCAAAGCAAGAATGGCCTGGGTTCGATTCCCGGCCGGGTGACCAGGGTCATTTCTGTGTGGAGTTTGCCTGTTCTTCCTGTGTCTGTGTGGGTTTCCTCCGTGTACTCCGGTTTCCTCCCACAGTCCAAAGACATGCAGTCAGGCCAATTGGACATGCTGAATTGCCTCTAGGTGTGAGTGACTGTGTATGCCTGCGATGGACTGGCGACCTGTCCAGGGTGTATCCTGCCTTCCGCCCAATGGCAGCTGGGATAGGCTCCAGCACCCCACCGTGACCCAGAAGGATAAGTGGTTTAGATGATGTATGTATATGATTCCAAACTTTTAAATGGTGGTGTATATGAAGGTACCCCCCCCCCACCCTGGAATTTACACAAAATGTATTTTTTTAAAAAAGCAAAGAAAACTCACTTGTATTTTTCCTTTTACAAGAAACCGATTTTGGGCAGCAGAACCCTGGCATCACTGCTACTGAGTGCTGATTGGTTGGTTCGCGCTCACTGACGTACATGAGGCGCCGTTTTAAACTCCTATAACTCGAGTTTAAAAGCTCTTAAAAATATAACAGCAGTGTTAAAGCAGTGTGAGCGCCCTCTAGCGTTTGAGAAACCCAAAAGACATTGCAGAGTGGGAACTCTCCTCTCTACAAGTTCTCTGGTAATAGTCTACCTGTCCGCCACAAGGGGGCGCCGCGTCGCCACAGATACCAGAGAGAAACCCCTTCAAACCTTCCTCACGCATGTTTGACTCTCCTCGGTCTCACGGCGGGGCGATCAGCGCTGATTTGTCACTATGAACCCCCCTAATCTGTTCTCCCCTCCTCTGTACCTGCAGAGATACCAGTTCGTGGTCGAGTTTGTTAGATCGTCCGATCCCAGAAAGGTACAGCACCAACACTAACAAGCGCTGGGGTCTCGCTGCTTTGGTGAAATACATGACAGAGCACGTCGTTAAGGTGGTCTGCCTCTGTCCCTCCTACAGGTGATGGACCTGGGCTGTGCGGACTGCAGCCTCCTGAGAAAGCTGAAGTTTCATCGACACGGTATTGAAGTTCTGGTGGGAGTTGACATCGACTGCGCCGCCATCAGACAGAGAGCGTCAGTGTTTTCTCATGATTTTTCAACATTTCTGTCACTGATTTGTGGGTCATCCTGCAGAAACGTCCACTTTTCTGTCTGTCCATAGGAGTCACTGGTGTTACTGATCCTCATTGGTGTTACACATAATAAAGGAACACCAGAGACATTTTTAACGAAGAATGCATGTTGTCAACCAGGGCAAATCCACTAAAATATGTAATTTAATCCGTTTGTGTTCTATTTTAATGGGATAAAGTGGGTCACACCAGTGACTTCAGCTAAAAGCTTCATATGAAATCATGAGCCAAATGAGAAAATCTCTGATAACTGAAAGACACAGTGGACTCACCATGTGCTTTTCTTCATAGATCCTCAGAAAACAGGTAAAAGAAGTTGAGTGATGTCATCAGAGTGACTTTTATGTCAAAATAAGAGATTTTTTGTTATGTGGTAACACCAGTGACACGACTCCTGGGGACGACAACTTTCATTATATATTTTATAATATTTATGTGTTTTATTTATGTCATTTAAATCATATATTTTTATAGTCATGTATAGATTATTGTAGTTAAAACTGCAGAAAAACGTTTTTTACCTCAAAATATGGCCTCAGCCTTCACACATGACTGTGAGGACGAACTCTTCTGTGGTGCTTGGAATTCTATATGATTGATTTAAAAACCAATATTGCTAAATTGAGGCTCAATAAGGTGTAATTATTAAAATAACTTACTGTTTTATTTTAAAATATAAATAAATTGTAACCCTAACAGTGTAATATATCTGTAAACACTATAGGGACACAACAATGGACGTTTCCATAGAATGACCCATGTAAACAGTCATTCAGAGGGGTTTGATCTGAAATGGTTCACTGTAGAGATGTACAGACGTGTTACGGAGGTGGTGACAGGAACTAGAGGTGTCCACACTAATATAGCCATTTTATTTACTACAGTCTTGAAAAAGATGGTTCTTCAAGGGTTCAGAGGAAAAGGGAATGATTTTAATTAGAACCATAGAATCGTTTCATGCTAAAATGGTTCTTTGCATGGAGAAATGGTTCTTCAGATTGATGGAGAATGTGTTAAATATGGTTCTATATAGCACCAAAAGAGTTCTGCTATTGTTATGATAGAATTACTCTTTCTGACGCTGTATAGCAGTGGGGGCTCAGTCCTGGTCCTGGAGATCTACCACCCTGCAGAGTTTAGCTCCAACCCTAACAACTCTACCCCAAACACACCTGATCCAGGCACTGAAGGCCTTCAGGGCAAGAGGACAGTGGACCACTGTCGGCCCACTGATGGCAAAGCTGGTGGTCCACTGGCGTTTTGCTCCGTGTTTTCCGTGCGGCCCACCGGTGGTTACGCAGAGTCATAGACAAAATTCCACTTATCATCACTCCTTTTCCATTTACAGTCCAGTTCACTGATTTTTCCTTCCTTCCTTTCTTTAGTTACACTTCGTAAATTAGTTAATTAACTTAATTCAATTAGTAAATAATTTTAATCCAGCTCAGTGTCAACAACATTTTCTATAGAATCATTTTATATCAGGCCTAGTTGTTTTTTTTCTCTCTCAGTTGTTTGTAATGTTTGTCCAAGTTTATTTTCCAAAATAAAAGTCCCTGTGCATTTAAAATCTGTTTGAGGAGATTAAAAACGAGTTAGAGCTTGTTTGCAGGACAGTAATCTGGGTGGTCCGAGGGTGGGTCAGCAGTGGCAAACAGTGGGGTGCCGACCTTATCAAGCCAGCGGACCGATATACGCTCGCTGTCTGGGGAGGATCTGACCACTAAAACCAGGAGCCGTATTACAGAAACGTCCTATCTTTATGTCTTTACTTGAAATCTGATAGGTCAAGATAGGATCTTTCACAGTTTCGTATTACAGAAGCAAATCTGACCTTAATTTAAGAATCTTATCTTATCTAATAGCATCTTTTCTTATCTCAAGTTAGGAAATCTTAACTTACTCGATCGAAGTCGACGATCAACTGTCACATCTGTTGCCTAGCAACCGACCATTTGCGCACAGCTGAAACGTAAACATGTAATCAAGATAGTTAGTCACAGCTAACGTTAGCCACCGTTACTGATGTAAAAAAGGTCAAATAAAACTAAAGCGTGATAAACTGAGAGTTAATAATGTTGCATCAGCGCCCCCTGCTGTTTATCAGAGTCGCCGCTCCACAGTTTCAGTCTCCATTTCCCAAACGCTTTGGCCGAGCGCGTTAACGTTACTCCTCCTAATAAACACACACGTTCAGCTCCGTCTCCTCATTATTCACCACCATCACTGTAATATTATATCAACATTAACACACAAAGGTAATCAGAGGGACGGTGGAGATCGAGTCTGCAGCGTCTGGGGCTTTTAAAAGCACTGTTTTCAGTGTAGATAAATGGAGCGTCATTATGCTGGTTATAGTGAACTGTGCTGCCCGTCACTGCATAAAACAATGGAAACAGACAATTTAAACAGAAGTTTAGACGCTCTGGGGTTTATCTTAAAGTTAGGACAGGATTTAGGAGGTTTTGTCTAGTCAGGACGTTTCTGTAATACTGTTTTCTTATCTGGAGTTAATGATAAGATTATGAACTTAAGGACTGTTGTTCTGTAAGAGCTTCTGTCCTAAATTCAGTCCTAACTGAAGTTGTCATGGTGACTAAGCAGATAAGATTTCAGACTTAAGAAGTTTCTGTAATACGGCTCCAGGGGTATGGGATCTGAACTCTCTCGGGTGGTAGATCCCCAGGACCAGGATTGAGCACTCTTGCTATGTAGAATTATTTTCAACAAGGTTCTATATAGAACCACAATCTCCATCAATCTGAAAAACGATGTCACCACGCAGAGAACCATTTATGCATGAAATGGTTCTATATAGAAGTCCTAGCAATAGAATAATTCCCTTTACTAAAGAACCCTTGTAGAACCACCTGTAAGAGTGTATACAACACCACCAGTGAACTATTCCTATTCACTGGTGGTGACAGCAGCCAGGTGGCACTTGACCTCATTACTACCTTCCTTTATGACTGCATAGAGCAAAACCTATTAGGGCTGAACGATTTATGCAAAATAACCCATTGCGATTTTGCTGACTAATATTGTGAATGCAATTTAAATTGCGATTTTTTTTTTTAGAAATTGAGATTCAGGCCTGATTTTTTTTGGCCAAGAAGACCAGAACATCCACCTATTTTGTCTATAACCCAAATACAGCCATTTACAATCCAAAGTTATTTGTTTATTTTTTTAGGCCAAAACCTTAAAGCGAAATTATCATAAAATGTCTCAGGCGTCAGGCAGTATATTCATAACCATTTCATATAAAAAAAAAAAACTTCCTGTGAGGTGGTTTGAAGAGACATTAAACACTTTCTCTAGAAGTATTAGTAGTATTTCACATCAAACTTTTACATCAATGACTTTTACATCATTAACAGTTTAATTATGCAAAGCCAGTCCGGTGCACAGGTACTAGGGCTGAAAGATTAATTGATTTTATTTTGAAATCGCAATTTAAGGCAGTGCAATTTTCAAATTGCAAAAGCTGAAATTTTTTTTAATTATAGCTGACACTCATAAAATACAGTTCTTCAAGGTTCTTAAAAAGATGGTCCTTTAGTAAAGACAGTCATTCCATACAGAACCATGAACACTCAGAGATCCATTTACATGCATAAAAAGTTCTTTGCCTGGTGAAAAGGTTCTTCAGATTGGAGAACGTGTTGTATGTGGTTCAGTATAGCATCAAAAAGGGTTGGTACTGTTCCTTTGTTGCTTGTTGATGTCAAGCTTATAACAATAGAAGACCATTTTGGTCCTACAGAGAACTCTTTTGAAAAAGGTTCTATATAGAACCATATACAACACATTCTCCATCAATCTGAAGAACTATTTTACCATGCAAAGAACCATTTGAACATGCAAAAGGTTGTTTGAGTGTTCATGGTTCTACATAGAACCACTGTCTTTAATAGATAACCCTTGAAGAACCATCTTTATTAAGCATGTACATCAGCAAAAACGTTGTTTTAGGTTTTAAGAGGGGAAACGGAACCTAATAAGAGTTTGGGAAACGGCTGTAGACGAGTTAGACCAATCAGAGGCAACCAAACCTCCCTGTGTTGTGACATCACAACCACAGCTTACTGGCAGTTTGACACACTGCGTTCAGGGGTCGAGCCTCAAGACAAAAAAGGTGGATGTTCTGGGTTTCTTGGCCAAAAAATCGCAATTAGATATTTTCCACAAATCGTTCAGCCCTAATAGGTTCTGCTCTAAGCAGTCATAAATGATGGTAGCAATGAGGTGAAGGCTCCCTTTATGTGTTTCTGTTTTTCAGGCATGCACTGGCCCCGCTCTCGAGTGACTACCTGCGGCCAAGTCCCAGGCCTTTGACCATTGAGCTCTACCAAGGGTCCGTTACAGAAAGAGAGCCATACACCCGGGGCTTTGACCTTGTGACATGTATTGAATTGTGAGTGCACTTCCTTTGCTAACATACAATAGAGGCCTACAGTTTAGTAGTCAGAATCACCTGTTCTCTCTTTTTTTCAAGAATTGAGCACCTTGAGCTTTGGGAAGTGGAGCGGTTTTCAGATGTTGTGTTTGGATATATGACCCCCTGCGCTGTGATCATAAGCACACCGAATGCAGAGTTCAATCCACTGCTGCCAGGCTTAAAGGGCTTCAGACATAATGACCACAAGTTTGAATGGAGCAGAACTGAGTTTCAGACTTGGTGAGCTTTTGTTTTCAAATTTACCTTTGATTTTATTACGTTTTTGCAGCCAGTATTCATTCTTTTGAATAGCAGGTCTGATCGCAGCTCTCTCGGTTGCCCAGGGCTCTTGGAGTGTGTAGGAAATATGGCTACTCAGTGGAGTTCACTGGAGTAGGTGAGGCTCCAGGTCGGGACAGAGAGGTCGGATTCTGTTCCCAGATTGGCGTGTTTCGAAGAGATGCTGATGAGTCAAATGCACCAATGAGCAGTACACGGCGGGAGCCTACAGTGTACAGACTGGTAAAGTGGCTTTAATATGTTTAATCTTACTGGCCAGCTTGTCCTAAAGTTGTACAGGGTGATTAAAAAAGATTCATCCGATTTCAAAGCGCCATATTTTTACAACCGTGAGGTGCCTAGGAACCAATCAAAATCCAATTGTAAGAGGGGCTCATAGAGTTTCTTACCGTGATTTTCGTGGGGAGTGAACCTCCAACAGCTCAGAGCGTTCGTCGTTGGTTCCACAACACTGGATGATCTCCGAAATCGCACTGAAAGAGCCGTGAGTGCAGCGACACCCGACACGCTCAATCCAGTATGGGATGAGTTTGACTATGGCGTTGATGTTGTCTGTACAGCTGGAGGAGGTTCATACTGAGACCTTGTACAATTACATAATAAACTTTATGCTCATTTAAACCATTTACAGTTCACTGCATTGATCTGTAATGATTTACAAGTGAAATCAATCATTTTGAAATCGGATAAATCTTTTTGAATCACCCTGTATTATGATTCTGTGACCCATGGCAGCCACTGTCACCCTCCTTGAGATAGTATCTGTTGTATAACATACTATACAGCAGATCCAGACCTATAATAGCAGAACTGTATGGTATCGTTTTTTTTATTTTCCTCTTATTGGTCACATTATTAGACATGCCTACCTTGTTGGTACACCTAGTATATGTACAGACACAATAGCTCATCCTTTTCCCTGCAAAGTCTGTGTTGGTCATCCTCTAGCACCTCATCAGTGGTCAGTAGTGACCACAGAACCACTATCACATATATACATGTTTTGGTTGATGGACTTTACCCAACTCAGCAGTGACACTGAGGTGGGTAAAATCCCAGCAACGCTGCTGTACTTGATACCAGCACAAAACACACTGATACGCCATCATTATTAAGTTGGAAATGGTCAACCACCCAAACAACATGTGGTCAGTGGTGGTCCCACTTAAGGACAAGGTAAAGAGTGGTAGATAAACTGTCTGTCAGTAATTGTAAACCTTTAAAGTGTATCTATATGGCAAATGTTTCTGATAAAATGACCAATGACTGGAGGTACAAGGTATCTCAGCGTGTTTCTCCAACGTTCCCCCTCCTTAGCTGTACAAGGTGGTTTACCCAAGCCTGTGTGACAACAACATCTTCCAGAGGATCCTGGTCAGTGAAGTCCTCTACATGGCAGAGAGCCTGAAAAGGCAGTGGCTGGTGGACGAACAAGGCATACCGACCGACTTCACCTCACACACCCACGGTTTACCATCAGAGGAGGTAAGACAGGTGGGAGAGGTGGAGGATGGTGTGGCGGAGGGCCCGGTAGTGTACAGGCATGGGAGCTGGGTGTGTGTGCCTCTGCAGGGTGTGTGGGCCAGTCCCAGAGTCCAGGCTTTATGTGGGGACATCCAGCAACTCCAACAGGCTCTACTAGACGACTCACGAGTGCAGCTGAACGCTGAGAGGAATGCCGTAATGCTACCTGATGAGAATGAAGTGGAGGAGGAAGACGAAGTGGAAAAAGATGAATGTGAGGAGGGGGAGTCTGCATTGAGGCCCATGAAAGACAGTGCAGAAGAGGACTGGGAGACTGAACTTGGTTGAAGTCTAATCTGAGGGACAGCAGTAACAGTGTAAAATGTTTAAATGCTCAGCTCTGTTTTTCCCAGCACTTTTAGCACGTTGTCCTATGACTGAATACATGTTTTCTGTTACAAAAATATTTTCCGTGTTCAGATTTATTAGTCCGATACTCTCTTGCATTGTCGATATACATCTAGGGGCCACCTTCTTTGAATAGCTGACCTTGTAGGTTTTTACCTACACCAGCGGTCACAACCCAAATGTTAAGAAGAGCCATTTTATCCTTTCCAACAAAAATCAATCCACCTTGGGAGCCACGACATTTTATTTCCATTTATTTAAGTAATGTTTTACCATCTTGGCTGTAAATATGTCTCAGAATGTGCTAATGTCCCAGTGTAGGTTAAAAAAAAAAAAAATACAAACAAAAACACAGACTTACTTTGCTCTGCTTTAAGCTTTAGCTCAGCTTTAGCTGCTTTTCTCGCATCTCCAGCAGGAAACTTTTCCACAAAAATAGAACCGTTTTTGTAAAATGTCTTTCAACGTTTGACTTTTTATGAGGCTGAAGTCGCTTCTCATTCTCCAACTTCTTGTTCGATCTGTACCGTTCCACCTTAAATGGTGCCTGAGGCGCCAGAATATAACTGCTGCATCTTTTCAGTGTTTGTCAGTTTCTCGTTGCAGATTAAACGTATCAGGAAACCAGCTGGAGTGCTTATAAATGCAAATTAGTCCATTCGTCTCCAAATCATTGATGTTCGTCTTAAATCTCTCTCTTTGCCGTTTCGTTAGCTACTAGCTAGGCGAGACTGTTGTCTGTGTTGCTATGGTGACCAGCAGTCTGTGCACCAACCTTCAGGGTTAAAGGGTAAATAAGCAGCTCTACAATAATTCCAGTGTTTAAAACCATTTATTGTTAAAACTGTGTTGAACGATCAGCAGAGCTTTATTTTACTGCTTTATTTCTGACCTAAAATCTAATTCTGCTGTGCAGCCGCAACAGGACAGTACAAGAACCGCATGCGGCCGATCCCTGACCTATTCTAATGCAGTTTCTACTGTCCATTGTGTAGCATTTCATCAGTGGTCAGTGTCTGATCACAGAGCCTCTTTTGGCTCAATAGTTTCGGGTGGCTCCTATAGTGACAAGTGAGTGTGGTTAAAAAGTGAATCTTGTATAGTTTTTGAAACGTACTGGGTTTATTAAACAGTGCGCGGTACACACAGTCAGCATTATAATTAAACATTATGGCATGGAAGCCATCATTGGTCAAAAGTGGTAGAACACCAAAACATTGCAGGACAGTCAAAAGCAATGTCACTGTTACGTCAGACACTCTACAGTACGAGGACCAAAAGCTTCACAGAAGAGATTAAAAACACCATGTTGTTTGCTACAACATGTAAAGTACCAAGACTAATTGTGAACTATCGAAACATTAATGGATTGTTTTAGCTGTTTAATACTTCAAGGTGATGTAAAGAGAAATTCTGCATTGTGGATATGAATCGCTTTCGGTTTGAGTTTCGCTGATTTAATATACATTTACATCGATCAGGCATAACATTATGACCACCTCACTGTCCATTTTATCAGCTCCACTTACTATATAGGTGCACTTTGTAGTTCTACAGTTACAGACTGTAGTCCATCTGTTTCTCTGATACTTTGTTAGCCCCCTTTTACCCTGTTCTTCAGTGGTCAGGACCCCCATGGATCCTCACAGAGCAGGTACTATTTGGGTGGTGGATCATTCTCAGCACTGCAGTAACACTGACGTGGTGGTGGTGTGTTAGTGTGTGTTGCGCTGGTCTGACTGGATCAGACACAGCAGTGCTGCTGGAGTTTTTAAACACCTCAGTGTCACTGCTGGACTGAGAATAGTCCACCAACCAAAAATATCCAGCCAACAGCGTCCTGTGACCACTGATGAAGGACTAGAGGATGACCAACACAAACTGTGCAGCAGCAGATGAGCTATCGTCTCTGACTTTACATCTACAAGTTGGACTGACAAGGTAGGAGTGTCTAACAAAGTGGACAGTGAGTGGACACAGTGCTTAAAAACTCTGTCTGATCCACTCGTACCAGCACAACACACACTAACACACCACCACCACGTCAGTGTTACTGCAGTGCTGAGAATGATCCACCACCCAAATAGTACCTGCTCTGTGAGGGACCACTGAAGAACAGGGTAAAAGGGGGCTAACAAAGTATCAGAGAAACAGATGGACTACAGTCTGTAACTAGAACCACAAAGTGCACCTATATAGTAAGTGGAGCTGATAAAATGGACAATGAGCGTAGAAACAGGGAGGTGGTCATAACGTTATGCCTGATCAGTGAATATTCCCTTAACTTCTCTTAAAGTTTGTGCAATTATAATGGCTAAAATAACAAACCTGAGATGATTATCCGTGATAACAAACTGCCTACTGTGATATGTTTTGTACTAGTGTAGGAATCAGTCTGCTGAATCTGACAAGCCTCTGATATGATGGCACCTTACAGGCAACAGTTAAGACACTAAAGAGATAAAACGTCCAAGACCTACTCATGCATTTGGTTGTTACATCTAGCTCTACATGATAGGTCTTTAGTGCCAGTTCTAGATAAAGAGTTTAAATCTACTGAAAAGCTACTGAAGGTTTACGCTGTGTGCGCAGACACCCGCTCAGTTTCAAAACACGCAAGAGGCAAGTGAGATCACGTTATAAAACGTATGGCTTTTGTGAAGATACTCGCACGTGGATAAAACCATAGAGAACGTTAACATCGGCAGACAGGAAACAGACACAGGTTTACTATAAAGTCCTCAAAATACTCTGACTTCAGGGACACGTTTACGATAAAGAAATATAATGAAAAAAATATCATTTGTAGTGTTTTTTTGTACATCAGCAGTCAGGATGTCACTGCAATAAATTCACTGTGTTCAACTAACTGTGTTTGTGTTTTGGTAGAGAGGAAAAGAAGATGAAATTCAGTTTGAGGACTATAATTTCTGAAATGCTTCTAAAACTATTCTAAACAGCTGCAAGCATTACAGCGACTATAAATCAGTTATTAGAAAGAATGATGGGTTTGCAGTCTTGACTCCTTTTCACACCCACTGTGGACCAATTCTGCCATAACAAATGTGAAAACTGTGCTATAATATCCTCGGAATTCCTTCATTACGTGGCAGAGTCATTGGTAATGGCAGTTTCTTTGCAGCTTGCCTGCATTTGGCCCTAAAGGAAAGCTGTGCTGAATTTAAAACCAGCGCCTGAATGAGCAGCTGTAGTTAAATGGGAATTTCCAATCCACCAATTGAAATTTTTTGCATAACTCAATCATTGAGATGTAAACAAAGACATTTAGAGTGGTTTGATGTGAGACTGTAGAGACACTTACTGACTCTTTACAGTGATGGTGATAGAAACCAGGGTACACAATGTCTACAACACAAATATAGCAGTTTTCTTTGCTATACAAAACAAATGAACCTACATGTGGAGTGTTAATCTTAAAATAGTGCGAAATCTGAAAAAAACGTTTTCTTTGGGTACTAGTTTGTCCTAGAACAGGGGTGTCAAACTCAACCAGTAAAAAGGCCACATTTAAAAATCTCCTCAAATCTGTGGGCCAGAGGAAAAAAAATGTTTTTATTGCATATTTAATTAATGTTGTGCTTTAACCTGAACCGGCCGTTGTTTATTCAAAATATGCAAAAATTTCAACAGTAAAATGCAGACGCTTGTAGTAGACATTATTAAATATTACATGGACAATATTCAAAATCTAAATGTCCCCAGGTGCTCAGGCTTTTAAACCCACCTATCTGCTTGAACTAGACACCTGGCATTCTTTCTTTGCTGCAAGTTCAAGACTTGGGCTCAATTTCTGAGCTCATGTTAAGTGTTTATGTTGGTTGAACTGAAGCAGAAATGCATTTGGTGATATGACTGGTGTGGAATTGCGCAGAATTGTGTAGAATTGAGGTGTAACTGCTGTCCCATAGACTGTTGTTGGGGTAGACGAGTTGGAGCACATTACGTTGCAGTGCATGCTGGGGATTGTAGTGCAGCACACTGTTAAATGGGCTAATAATAATAGAAAATTAAAATACTTTTGGGGGCCAGATAAGATTGTGTGGCGGGCCTGATTTGGCCCGTGGGCCTTGTGTTTGACTAGGGCTGAAAGATTAAACGTTTTTATATTAAAATCGCAATTTAAGGCAGTGCAATTTTCAAATCGCAAGACCTGCAAATTTTCTTTAATTATAGCCGACACTCTTAAAATACAGTTCTTCAACGTTCTTAAAAAGATGGTCGTTTAGTAAAGACAGTCATTCCATACAGAACCATGAACACTCAGAAACCCATTTGCATGCATAAAAAGTTCTTTGCCTGGTGAAATGGTTCTTCAGATTGGAGAATGTGTTGTATGTGGTTCTGTATAGCATCAAAAAGGGTTGGTACTGTTCCTTTGTTGCTTGTTGATGTCAAGCTTATAACAATAGACGAACATTTTGGTCCTACAGAGAACTCTTTTCAAAAAGGTTCTATATAGAACCATATACAACACATTCTCCATCAATCTGAAGAACTACTTTTACCATGCAAAGAACCATTTAAGCATGCAAAAGGTTCTTTGAGTGTTCATGGTTCTACACGGAACCACTGTCTTTACTAAAGAACCCTCGAAGAACCAGCTTTATCAAGTGTGTACATCAGCAAAAACATTGTTTTAAGTTTTAAGAGGGGAAACGGAACCTAATAAGAGTTTGGGAAACGCCTGTAGACGAGTTAGACCAATCAGAGGCAACCAAACCTCCATGTGTTGTGACATCACAACCACAGCTTACTGGCAGTTTGACACACTATGTTCAGGGGTCGAGCCTCAAGACAAAAAAGCCTGAATCTCAATTTTTAAAAAATGCATTTGCAATACTAGTCGGAAAAAATGCAATTAGATATTTTCCACATATCGTTCAGCCCTATGTTTGACACATGAGCCCTAGAACATCCTGTGTGTGCCTCTTCACCATGAACATTTTTTAAAAATATGTTTTAAGCCAAAAGCTTTTGTCAAAACTATTGCAAACTAATGTCTCAGACATCAGCCAGTGTGTTTGTAAGGTAGAGGCATTAATCTTCAGATTATAGTTACTATCACCACCAAGGAACTACTGACTCTAAAATGGAGCATGTCATATCAAACCATTCTGAATGGACTGGTTTTCATCTCTGTGATTGCGTTATGCAGAACTGTGGACAACTGGTAGAATTCCCCGATAAGAACGGCTGCTTTCTGGATATTTCAAATTCCACAATTGAGCTGAACCCCAAACACTCTGTAAATCACTCAAGACCAGATTAACAGTACAAAGCCCAGAAGTTCAACACTGTTGGGGTTGACTGATGGTCAAATACGACAGAATAGATTGTACTGGCACTGATAGCCACCCCATAAATCTGTGCCTAAACTGTCCCTAAACGTTGAAGTGCTCCATGCGGAATATGATTTCCTTAGCTTTATTTTTTCTTTATGTGAAGGTGATGCACTCACTCACGTAGACAGAGTGCGCAAGCTAATTCTCTCCCTTAAAGGTGAACTGTCCTCCCTGGTCTCAGCTTCCATCCCAAAGGTGTGGAACAAAAGAAGAGTCCGTTCGATCTCCCCTCAGAGCGTAATGAGATCAGCAAACACACCGCAACAGTGAGGTCACCTTCTGTAAAGAACACTGCAGCACTGTATCTGCAGTGCACACACACACACATACTGAGATAAGTGGTGGAGATGCACAAAACATATAAATACTCCCAAATATAACTGATAAAGGGGAGAACCCCCCACCCAACAGCTGCTGAACATATGAGATTCAAAAAATGGAGCATAAAACAAAACCTAGAACCAACCTAGAAACAAGCAAAACACTGAGGAATCTGATTCCTGTTCCAATCAGTAAGTACAGTTTTCCTCCTCTGACTCAAAGAGGGAAAGTGTTGGGATCTGTAACTTAACCTCACAAGTTTCCACAGTCATATATCATTAACCCCAGGCTCCAGAGATGTGCATGCCTCCACCCAGCCAGCGGAGGGTGCTGTTCTGTTAAAATCCCCGGTCGCTGGCAAACAGTGAGGCTGGGTGGGTGAAACACACTGCCAGAAGGATGAGAGGTTGGAGAGCCTGTGTGTACCTCCCTCCTGTACTTTGGTTTGTACTGCCTCTCTGCTTGGCAGCTTCCAGCTCTAGCGCTTGATCACCACCTGTTCGTAGGCACCAGCACCAACCCTGCGGAAAAAAATAGGAAAGAAAATCTTGGCAAGTCTTTGTGGAAAGTCGCAGAGCAGGGCCGATGTAGGGTGAGATGACCCCCAGTACTAAATACTGATTAATTGTGCTGAACTGTAAAATCTGATCCAGAAATAATACCAGCTGTTAGAGGAATTTTGCCACAGCATATTCGAGAAGGCTGCTGACCAAGCGGCCTATCAATATAACAGCGTTTTCCAGGTCAGAACGAAATCCGCTTTAGTAAACACTCATATCTATTTTTTTGATTTCTGTCAGATGTGAACAAACTTCCAGATATAAAAAGACTGTTCAAATTAAAGTGTGACCATTTAGTTAGGGGGCATTTTTATCATATACTTCACATTAACAGTTCTCTGATGACACTGCTGAACACTCCTGTGTGCCATGGGCTGCACTCTGCCTTACTGTTGTACCTGGCAGGTAGATGATGGCTGCCAAGGGCTGTGCTCCCTCCGGGACCCACAAACAAGCGAAGACCCTCTTCTGTAACACGGTATAAAATACTGGTGTCAGTTTCTCTCAGAGCTGAAGAGAGATCTTAAAAAGCAACTGCCTGTGACAGAATAAAACAAGGATGTCTCAGGCTGGAAGCAGAAGCATAAGGCTGGTCAGAAAATGGGGTTGCCATGGTTACCTTCAGCGCTGGAGTCAAGCAGACTGTGGGTGAAGTCCTGGCTCTGCAGGATCTTCTCCACCACGTCGTCAGCATCCACCCGCGTGGCATCCATTCGCTTTAGCTGAGACTCCATCGAGTCCTGCTTCACCGGATACCTGCGTGGGAGGAACAGCTTCAACCTCGACTGCATCAAAACAGACAAATTTGGACTAAAGCCATGTAAGGTGCAATGTATGGATTAGGGTTTCATTGCCTTCCAGCTGTATAAACAGAAAATAACACCTGGACTCGTGATTTATTCACATGGTCTTTCGAGACAGATTAAATCTTGAATTAATTTACATGATAAGCGAGGATTCTTTATTGAAAGTGCTTGTAAGTCACGAGAAGGCCAGCATAGGGCTTCTGACCCAGTACTGGAGAACCTTTCTCCTGCATTTTATTCAGTCTAGCACACCGGATTCAGCTCATTATAGATTTTATAGTTACCTAAAGAGTTAAATCAGCTGTGTTTTTAAGGAAGGAAAAACAGTGCAAGAGGTTACCAGGCCTGAAATTAAGACCCTCTGATCTAAAGCCATACTACTAACCTGCTGGAGGCTCGATCAGGTGTGGCGGGGTGTTCGGGTAGGGCGGCACAGGCTCCAGAAGCAGCAGCAGGGGGCGCTGTGGTGCTGTGGTTCTCCTCACTGGGCTCAGGGATGCTGCCGATGCCTGTGGAGGCACTGCCCACTGAGGTGTTCCTCCTGTGGGTGAATTCTGATAGGCTGGAGGAGCGTGAGTGGCTGGTGCTGTAGCCTGAATGCAGAGGGGACAAACGTCACATGAAAGATTACATAACAGACGCACAAATAAACGCAAATCAACCTTTCATCCACACACACACACAACAAATACCTACAACCAAATGTAAACTGAACGGTAGACGTTTGCAGAACTCTCTCTGACCCACAGTAGAGAACACAACAGTAATAACTGAAGGGGAAAAGTCAATCAGAGTTCACATCTGAGGGGCACGAAATCAGAGTAGTGAGCATATTAGCTGAACTGCACATAAAATTTAATTAAACTCCTCTTCAAAAGGAGCCTGTTAACCGCGTCTTTCAGACTGGGAGAACAGAAAAACCCACTGTAGTGATATTTACTGATTTACTAACAACAGCTATATGGGTATGGATGTATATTACATGGCCAAAAGTATGCGGACACTTGACCATCACGCCTACATGACCTCGTTGGACATCCCATTCCAAAACCATGTGTATTAACATAGAGTTGCCCCTCCACTCTTCTGGGAAGGCTTTCCACAAGATTCTGGAGTGTGTCTGCGGGAATATGTGCCCATTCAGTCAGAAGAGCATTTGTGAGATCAGGCACTGATGTTGGACGAGAAAGCCTAGCTTCCATTCGACGTTCCAATTCACCTCAAACGTGTTTAGTGGGGTTCTGTATCTTAGACTCAACAGCATCCTGGGACAGTTCAATTTCCTCACATCCGATGTCTGAATGGTTTAACCATCGGGTTTCTAAACAGAGATTAGTGTCACATATCTACAACTCTATATTAGATAAATCTTACTCTACTTTAGAAGTAACATTTAAATGGGAATGGGAGCCGAACCAGCTTGGATTCCATCCCGTGTGGGACCGGATGTTGTCTAACCTGATTGTTACCTTGCTCATCAATTAATTAATTTTAAATGTATACACAGGGCCTACTCCACACCATACTTAAAACATAAAATGGGCAGGGTTCCCATACCTTATTGTACTGTTGGCAATGCTGATTATGTCGGCACTTTCCTGCATATGTTTTGGGACTGTACTGAGATTAGCAAATTCTGGGACTATACACCGATCAGGCATAACATTATGACCACCTCCTTGTTTCTACGCTCATTGTCCATTTTATCAGCTCCACTTACTATATAGGTGCACTTTGTAGTTCTACAGTTACAGACTGTAGTCCATCTGTTTCTCTGCATACTTTGTTAGCCCCCTTTCACCCTGTTCTTCAGTGGTCAGGACCCCCATGGACTCTCACAGAGCAGGTACTATTAGGGTGGTGGGTCATTCTCAGCACTGCAGTAACACTGACGTGGTGGTGGTTGCGCTGGTACGAGTGGATCAGACACAGCAGTGCTGCTGGAGTTTTTAAACACCACAGTGTCACTGCTGGACTGTGAATAGTCCACCAACCAAAAATATCCAGCCAACAGCGTCCTGTGGGCAGCGTCCTGTGACCACTGATGACGGACTAGAGGATGACCAACACAAACTGTGCAGCAGCAGATGAGCTATCGTCTCTGACTTTACATCTACAAGGTGGACTGACAAGGTAGGAGTGTCTAATAGAGTGGACAGTGAGTGGACACAGTGTTTAAAAACTCCAGCAGCAGGCCCGCAAAACTCACCCTATACTAATGTTTCTTATGTGGTGTGACAGTGTTTTCATATGTACATGTATTGACTGTGATCTTGACTGTACTTATTCATGTTGGTTTACACTGAACAGGAACGTAAGCTGTATATCTTTTGAAAGCTAATAAAATAATAAGTTGATCACATAGGTGCATTTCAGTAGGTAGCGCTCTGGAATCTGTCAAAGCCAGATTCATCCATCAGACAGCCAGACAGTGATGTGAGACTCATCACTCCATAGATGTCTCCAGATTCTAGTGGCAGAAGCTTTACATCACACCAGTTGTCACTTGGCATGGCAGACAGTGGCTTGAGTGCAGCTGCTTAGCCATGGAAACCCATTTCATTAAGCTCCCAATGCACAGTTCTTGTGCTGACGTTGTGCTAGTGAGGCAGTTTGGAACTGTAGTGAGTGACGCAACAGAGGATAGGTGATTTTTAAGCACTTCATGCTCCAGCAGTCGGCTGTTTTCTATCTTGGCACGACATTCAGTGAACATCCGTGGAATGGCGGTGTTGGAAAAGTATTTGCAGCTGGTAACTGTCGGGACCAAGAGCTATTTGCTTCCTTGCCCAAAGCCCCGACATATGATGGGTTTTATAATCTAAACTATTCTGTGCTGTGGTTTTGTTCTAATTATTGTCTTAATCACTTACAAAAATAAACAAAAATAAAAGAGGGTATTCAATCAAAAATAAAAGAAAGTAGAATAAAAGACTTCAGCCACTGAGTTCTTGTGGAAGGGAGAAAAAGGCTTCTTCTTTATTTCAGCATCAGGTGGCACAGGGTCTCGAGAGACCCCAACTGCGCAAATACAGTGTTCCAAACAACAGTTTATCCCATTTATCTGGGGTCATGTGATATCCCTCCGCCTTACTTCTCAAATTTTGATATTAGCTCATTCTCTAATAGGTGCATCTCTTCACCCATCAGTTTGGCCATCGCATGATGAGCTCACTCCTAAAAACTGGCTTCAACAGGTTTTTACCAGCCTGCTCTACCTTTCACGGTCAACTTGCCCCTCTCTTCACTGGGTCAGTAGGTACACACAGGCCTCTCTGTGAACCCAGCTGCTTTCCAGTGTCTAGAATCTCCTATACAGACAGACTAAGACCCTTTGTGAGAGAAGTAATATTCTCTGTTAGGCAATACTTGCTATTTGGTTATTGATTACAACATCTAATCTATTTGATCACCGATTAAGGGAATATTTATTCAAAATCTTCGTCATAACTCACCAACTACTTTGAGGAGTCTTTGGAACCCCTCGTTTTCCACTGTTTTGATAGCAACCATATCCTTTGCCAGATAAAATGTTACTGCTTCTGTTACCTCTTTCCATTGTTTACTTGTCTTCTCATACGGAGCGCCTCTCACAAACGCTTATGTTAGCGTTGTTTGTTTTGGTCTTGCTGTAACGTTAACGTTAGCCTCTGCTGGCTGCAGTGTAGCAGGCCTCCTCAGTGCTTGACTCTCAGCATACTGTTTGGGATGTTGTCGCTTTAAATGGTTGAAAACGTTTGTTATGTTGCCGTCCGACGTGAGAACCTTCTCTGTGCAAACTCTGCAAATCACCATGGTTTGTGTCGCATCAGTTTGGGAAAATCCAAACTAGTTCCATTTTACTGACGTTGACTTTTTTTGGGGACTAACTGTTCGCCGGTGTTTTCATTCATGGCTTCCCGCTTGTGAAAAAGGGGAGGGGAAAGCGAGGCATGATGGTACGCTATGATTGGTTTATCTGCGTGTCTCTGGGGTGGGAAATAGTGCGCTTTGACTGAGGGAAAATAAAAACCCACATCGCCTGTATGTGCATAGAACTGCATCGGATATAATGTGCATTGTAGGGGTGGGGGAAAAAATCGATTCTTAGATGCATCGCGATGCGGACGTGAACGATTCTGAATCGATTCACAAATGTCAAAAATCAATTTTCTAAATATTTAATTTATAGCGTAATGTTGACGGAACGCAAGGGGCGGAACTTGGAAGTGGGTAAGTGCAGCGCCCGGACAGTCTGTGGCGGCACTTAACAAAAACACTACTGGAGGAGTGAGAAATCCGACCGGCTCCCTCTGCATTAAAGCCAGGTTAGGTCAGGAGTCACAACACAAATGATAAGAAGAGCCATTTTGTCCTTTCAACAAAAATCAAACCACCTTGGGAGCCGCAACATTTAATGTCCAGCATGTCTCAGTATGTGCTGATGTCCTAGTGTAGGCTAAACAATATAAACGAACACGCAGACTTACTCTGCTCTGCTTTAAGCTTCAGCTATAGCCGCTTTCCTCCCATCTCCGCCAGAAAACTTTTCCTCATAAGTTGAATAGTTTCTTGTAAAATGTCTCAGCTTTCGGTTGTTTTACGAGGCTGAAGTCGCTTCTCATTCTCCAGCTTCTTGCTGAACTTTCCGGTTCCACCTTTAATTCTGACTGAGATGCCGAATGTAATTGCGGCACCATTTAAGGTGGAACGGGAAAATTAAAAAGAGAAACTGACTTCAGCTTCGCCGCTTTTTAGTGTTTGACAGTCTCTCGTTGCAGATTTAATGTACCAGGAAACCGACTGCGCTGCTTATAAATGCGAATTTATAAGTCCATTAATCTCCCAATGTTCGTCTGTCTTTCTCGTTTCCTTTTCGTTCGCTACTAGCCAGGCGAAACCTCGCTGCTACATGACCTGCAGTCTTTCACGCTCCACACTCCCCCCCCCCGCCCCCTATCACGAGACCAAAACCGAAGTTATAAAATCACTGAAGTACATATAATTTGCTGCGTGGTCATCCATCACCACTGGACCTTATTTCACCTTAACAGCGCATTTTATCGCAGATGAGTGGCAGCAGCGTCTCATGTGCTCCGAACCAGAGCAGTGAATGAGAGCCTACTAGTTCACTTGCCACATCACTTCCATTTGATTTATTAATAAAAGATATTGGACGTAAATTCACTATGGATCATTACAAATACTTTGTTTTAAAACTACCAAGTCCTTAGACAGTAAGAAAATAGAAATCATGTATAGAAAAAAAGATGCATCGAGATGCATTGATAATCGTTTTATAATCGCATCGCAGCCCCCTGAATCGTAATCGAATCGAATCGTGAGGTGCCTAAAGATTCCCACCCCTAGTGCATTGTAACACGATCCAACGATCTCCCTGTGATGGCATATCGTGGACACATAATAATCCTTCACGATCTGATATCGTCATATCGCACACCCCTACTTACGGTTGACGGGCAGATCTAGCATGGCAGAAACTGGCATGCTTTGACAGTGCCACGTTTAAAGTCACAGAACTCTTCAATACAACCAATTCTACTGCCAATGTTTGTCTATGGAGACTGCATGGCTATGTGCACAATTTTATATACCTGTCTACAATGAGTATGGCTGAAAATGTGAACTCTGGAGGGGTGTCCACATACTTTTGGCCATGTACATCTATTTCATCTTACACATTTTCCCTCAGTTATAATAAGTGAGCAATCCAGGCGTATTTGTAGCTAAAGGCTTTCCGGAATATCAATCATTCAAAAGCTGAGAACTAGTCAACACCCACATGCTCGATGTTGCTCTTGTCTGCGTCAAACTAGAGGAGCCGATGGCGAAGCCTCTACTGTATGCGCTCTTAGCGAAGGAAGAAAAGCCTTCTGCACACCCACTCACATCACGTGTACCTCTGAATGGAAGCATGTGGCGCTACTGGCTCTCTTCTCTCTCAAATCTGTCTCTTTTCAGAAGATTTAATTAAACTTAATACTTTCAAATGAGCCTTACATGCACTTTGGGGGTTATTTGAGGAAGGAGACAGTGCTAATGCCTCCCCTCCTTTCATAATCATCTGAGACTAATGTGAGAAATACATCCAATCTAATCTGAAAGCATCAAACGTCGACTGAGTGCTGTCTCTCCCCAGTAAGTATCCGAGGAAGCCGTGTTATCAAATCAGCTTTGTAATCGGGGACATTTGATCTGGTCTCCAGGCTGCTGTCTAAGTGCCTGAAATTTCAGATAGGGAGGGATTAGCGATGAGGGGGGGGAGCGCATAAGCACAGATGAGCACAGACACACACACACATTAACAATAACACACAGAGGCATTATATTCTGCACATGCATCAATCATCAGTTTTAATGAGGTTAGAAGAAAAGGACGGACAAACCCCAACATGCATTCAAAATCAGGCTTTAAAATCATCTCAACCCCACCACACTGTCTGACACTGGAAGGAAAGTCAGAAAGTCAAAGGAAAGCCTACCTGATACTTTGGACTGCTGACTAGCATAGCTAGAGGTCCGAGAGTGACCACACACTCCCAGCTCCTCCGGCAGAGAGCCACACTTGCCCGGCGTTTCTGTGGACACAGGGGGTTCCAATCAGACACACACACTTGACCCTACTTCGCACATATTAGTGTAGCTGCTGTGATGCTAATCAGGCTTGGTCTCCTCCTCTTAATGAAAATCCACTTCATAGGTTCACTCGTGTCAATGGGAGAGCCGACGATCCCCATTAGACTGATCTATTATGGGTCACGCAAGACTGACAAACATTAACCAAGGCTGTCATCCCACAAGGCAGAGTGCAAACACGTTTCCCACTAAACTGCATTGTTACTCGGTTAATTAAAATGTTTTCGGATAAACTAGAAAGCTAACAGGCCGCAAAGAGCTCCACAGCATAGTTAGTGTCAGGAAATAAGTGACTGAAATGAACGCTGTGGGTTGAAACGCAGCGTTTATTTCAGATACCGGTCAAGAAAAGGACAGTGACCTCGTCTACTTTTGTATTTTCACGTCCGTACTAGGGGTGCAACGATTATTCGACTTAGTCGACTGAAATCGACGACCAAATTAGTTGGTGACGTCATTACACCTCTTTCTCGCGCTCACTAGGAATGTTTTGACATTACCACTTATTGGAGAGTTCACAAAAGTGCAATGTCAGCCTCAAGAACAAAATACTCCAATGTGTGGGAGCATTTCACACTAAAATCAGAAAAAAGGTTGTAGTTGTGCTATTTGTAAACCGAATTAGCTGGCTATGGGAGCATACTCTCCATGATGGAGCGTCTGAAGAGGAAACTCGTCGGTTCACTGAATGAAGAAGATTCATCTCGGTAAGATACGCCGCGTCCCAAACCGCATACTAGCACACTAAATAGTGTGTAAAAATAACACACATACCATTAGAAGTGCACTCATTAGTGTAGTACGTGAAGTGCAGAAGTGTGTGGTTTGGGACGAGGCAATAGTTGAATTAATGTTAAAAGCCGTATTTCGTGTTATGTGCTGAGCTGTAACATTTTCTATTACGACATTCACGTTTTCGAAAATATTGCATTTTCGAAAATATTGCATTGTTGTCTTAGCATCAAGGCCACTTTTCTTTTTTCCGCTAACATTGGTGAGGTAGTTCTACACGAACACATAGGGCAGCTGGACGAAGGGTTACCGTTGAAATGAAATGTTTACACGAAGTTGTTCATTTATCTGTTCATAGAGAACAAGTTTGCCACAAACGTTCGCCACTTTCCCATCTGCTCCATCAGAGCGCATCTCCTCTGCAGCGGGGAGTATCTGCTCTCAGAGGAGAGCAAGCCTCTCCCAAGAGTACGGAGACGCTGACTTTCCTCCGTTTCTGTGAAGACTGTGATTGTACAGGGAGATTCGCTCGAAAGAGGCCCCGAATGTTCTGTAATAACTCTCTCTACGACAGAGCAATCCGAACGAAACCACGTGCAATGAACTTCTCTGTGTATGGAGCTTCGAACAAGCTGGGATGCCCCCGTGTCGGAGCGATGAGGTAGGCGCCGGACAGCCGTCGCCATGTTTAACCTCTCTATGTTCAGGAACATGGAGCACCACGTCAAAATGTGTCTGGCAGAAAACGGAGATCACTTACAGCATCGCATGTCGTGTAATCGATTACACATACGTGAAGGTATGTAGCGTATTTTTTTAGTTCAAATTGCTTCATCCGAACAGGAGTTACAACAGAATATTCAGGGCCTCTTTCAAATGAATCTCTCTGTAGAATTTAGTTGCAACAGAGTGTAGATAGACAGCAGAATGTACAAAGCACAGACTGCACTGTTTAAAATTTAAACTTAGTTTAATTTTTTATTCACTTGATTAAAGGAAAACTGATTCAGTTTTGTAATATTTTATTGTTGCTACTTTGCACAGTGAATTCTTGAATGTTATTCATCTTCACAGTTAGTTAGCAAAGGCATAAAACAACCTGAAGCTAAATTTAAAAGCTAATAGCTATGTGAGAGTTGTTTGGTAATGTAGTTATTCATAATCTGAATTAATCGATTATTCGTTTCCGTAACCGATAGATTATTCGACTGTCAAATTAGTCGATTGTTGCAGCCCTAGTCCGTAATGAGAGAACATGACTTGCTACCATTACAGCATGTTTCAACCCCAGTCATGTCAAAACTACTGTTATACTGAACACTTTTGGTAGCTGATATATCATTCGTTGATGAAAGGTGAATGTAATTATCTTTATCACCCGATTTCTTCTATTTTTGCTAATTTGTCACATTTAAATGTTTCAGATCATACAACAAATTTTGATGCAACACGAGTAAACATAAAATGCAGCTTTTAAATGACCACTTCATTTATCATAGATAAAAAGTTATTCAAAACCTGCATCACGCATGTGAAAAAGCAACTCTCCCCCTAATTAAAAACCTAATTAAACCTATTGTGCCAAACGTTTGCGATAAGTTGCGTTAAGTTTTGCGATGCTGTGGAGCGATTCTGGCCCAATCTTCTCTGCAGAACTGATTAAATTTGGCTACACTGGAGGGTTTTCAAGCAAGAACTGCCCATTTAAGGTCTTGCTAAGCATCTCAATGGGATACAAGTCAGGACTTTGACTCGGCCTCTCCGAAACCTTAATTTTGTTTCTTTGAGGTGGACTTGCTTGTGTGCTTCAGATCATTGTCCTGCGCCCAATTGCGCTTGAGCTTTAGGTCAGGAACTGACAGGGGGACATTCTACTTCAGGATTTCACGGTTCTATCAATTAAGACTTTTATAACTATCAATTAAGTCGTCCAGGTCCTGAAAAAGCCAAGCAGCCCCAGACCATCACACTACCACCACCATGTTTCACTGTTGGTATGATGTTCTGGTGGAATGCAGTGTTATCTTTATGCAAGATGTCATGGGACCAATGTCTTCCAAAAAGTTTCAACTTTGACTCATCAGTCCACAGAATATTATCCCAAAAGTCTTGGGGGTCATCTAGACATAGCCTTCGTATTCTTATTGTGGAATCATTTACATTGACCTTAACTGAGGAAAGTGAGGCCTGCAGCTCTTTAGTTGTTCGTCTGGGTTCATTTGTGACCTCCTGGATGAGTCGTCAGTGCGCTCTTGGTGAAGTTATGGTAGGCCAGCCACTCCTGGGAAGGGTCACCACTATTCCAAGTTTTCTCCATTTGTAGATAACGGCTCTCACTGTGGTCTGGAGTCCCAGAGCCTTAGCAATGGTTTTGTAGCTCTTTCCAGATGGTAGATTTCAATGACTTTGTTTCGCATCTGTATTTGAATCTTCTTAGAACGTGGCATCATGTGCTGCTTTTTGAGACCTTCTAGCTGCTTCACATTGCCAGACAGGTTCTATTTAAGTGATGTTCAGATTCAACAGGTCTGACAGTAATCATGTCCGGGTGGGGCAGTAAAATTGAACCCAATAGTCAATTGAATTCGGTTAACTGGTTGATTTAGTAGCTAAGGGGACAGTTACTTTTCACATAGGACCAGGTAGGGCTGAACAGCATTTTTCCTTCAATAAATAAAATCATCATTTAAAAACAGCATTTTGAGTTTACTTGGGTTATCTCTGTTTAATATTCAAAGTAGTCTGAAAATCTGAAACATTCATGTGTGACAAATATGCAAAAATAGAAGAAATACTTCTTCACAACACTTTATTCTGACAAAAACGGCTCAAAAGAAAAGATCCTCTGACGGAATGGTGATACAATATTTAGACGGAAGGACAGAAAACAGACAGAGAGTGATTAATATAGGGCGCCTTTGTTTCATACAGCACCCTAACTTTGCAGAACCAGCTTCCATAACTACCACGGCCCACCATGAGTATCGATACCAGTGCTCAGCATGTGCGCCAAACATGCACGTTTCCAAAACGCCTAGTTCCTCTGAACAAATGGCTGCACTGAATAATTCATCAAACGCCCCAAGACCAAAAGCTGAGTGCAGTTCACAGCGGCCTGCTGGGCCCAGTACGCCCAAACTGGTTTTACTGACATGGCCAACAGGCTTAACCTGGTTGTGGACTGTGAATGACTCTAAATAATGTCAGCAAAGAAAAGGCTCAAGTGTTGCTTCAGTAGTCACGATCCTATCCCAGAGCCGGTAGCTGAAGTGGCGGAACAGACAAACAGCAGTCTGGCTCACGTGTGGCCTCGCAAGGTCTCTATGGGAGCTGAATAATAGATGAAAGAGCGCTGTTCTCAGAAGCCTCCGGAAAGGAAAAGTCACAGATCAGAGAGAGAGAGAGAGACAGAAGGGGAGGGACAAAAAGAGAGAGGGACGGAGAGAGACAGAGTGGGGGGAAAAAAGACTTATTTATGCCCTTTTATTAGAGCATGCCAGGCATCGAAAAACAAACATGATAACATGATGTCTTTTTTTCTTCAAGCAGGTTGGTTTGGGCACAGGATTAATCCAATATTCCCTGCTGATAGCATTTGATTAGGAGGCAGGTTGGTAAGTCACGATGATCAAAGCAAGCAAGTAATCAACAGCAGTGCAGTCACCGCCCCCCTCCCTCGCTCACCCCGATGAAGCTGCGCTCAGACAGCAGATATCTTAGCAGAAGCGTTTGAGGAAAAGCTGGTCTGTTTTTTCTGGATTTCATCAATGTGGTACGACCATAGATATCCATTCCTAGATGCCGCGTGGCCTGTTGTTCTCTATCTGAGGCGATACGTCTGAGCATCCGCCATGTTGGAGAGGTCAAGATCTGCTTGTAAACAAATTCACTTGTATTGAGAGACGATGAGTCTCAGGATTAAATCAGCCTCAACTTCCTTATTACTCAACCGATTTTCACCAAATTTGTTTTGTTATAATCCTCAGACACAGATTAATCTGGGCTGCACGGATCTGCTCTCGGTAGCTTTTATTACTTTAATAACTGATCGTTATAATTAGCCGTCCGGACCAGCAGGAAAGTATTCAGTCTGCACCTGACGTTAAAAACTGGGTTTAGCGCGAGAAACACAATCAGACACATCAGCAAATCCATCAATGTGTGAATCACTTCTAATCTTAATACACATAAAAATAAAATAAACCCCCCAAAACACAGTAAGAAGGACGAAGCTGAATGGCTTCCTATTCGCCAGCTTCTTGGTCGAGTTTTCCCATTCCACCTTAAATGGTGCAGTAGTCACTTTCTGGTGCCTGAAGCTGCAAAAAGCTGGCTGATGCACCATTTAAGGTGGAATGGGAAAATTCGAACAAGAAGCTGGCTGATGCACCATTTAAGGTGGCATGGGAAAATTCAAATAAGAAGCTGGCAAATAAGAATCTGACTTCAGCTTCGTGTAAGAAGGTGCTGACGTTAATCTATTATGAATATCTACACAGATTAATGAATGCTGTAACTACAAGCTTTAACCATCATTGTAAATAAATAACTACTACATAAAGTTAAGACCCCCTGAATAGACTATTAAATGAAATAAGCTTCATATAAAACCAGAGGAAAAACAATCACATCAACAGGTTCTCTGTGCTTCACCAACCACACGGCCATATCTACACAAACACCACACAAACAATACGCATCACACAGACATGAGCGTGGATCGCTGCGTTCCCTCTGTTATATAATCCTATCCCACTTTCTGAGTCAATATTCTTGAAATGGTATAATTTTGGACAGTGTCTTTCTGAAACTGCCACTCTGTGATGGGACTGAATGCTGCCCAGCAGTGATGTTGACCTCCCCAAAATGGCGGCGCCGTTGATGTGCCTGGCTGGACCCAACGCGGCATCTGTGTATGTATATCTATGAGTATGACCATTTAACTTTGTACCAAAAGTCATAGGTGGATGTACCTGAGAGGCCCAGGAAGGGTTTCTGTGAGTCTCCTCCTCGCCGCTCCTCCAGCAGACCCTCCGAATCGCCTTGGATCCCAATCACTGTGGCCGTGGACGGAGGTCTGTTGGGCGATAACATAGTAACAGGTTATAAATCCCATACACATGCACACATATGTACACACACACACACAGGTTTGTTTTTAGAGAATTTGAGGATGTCAAGTATTACGTATGTACTGTATGTGTTACATAGAGTACTGTGCAAAAGTCAGAGACCCTTCATTAATTTAACTTCCAGTCAAAACGGTCTTTAAGTGACGTATTAAGAAAACGTATTGTCCAATTTTAAAGCTGCACTGTGTAAGATATTTTAGTTAAAACTGAAAGAGGTAGCAGAGAAGTTACTGAGTCAGGAGAAAAAAAAAGACACTGCTAAAATATGGAGTCTGTGTGCTGCTGTGAGCGGCTCTGTAAAGCCTGATATTGTAAATTAAAAGCCAGGGGTGTCGGGTCGGATTTCATGGGGGTTTTTCAGACCATGTCATATGTCTTTACGTGTTAACCTCCCAAGAACAAGCTCAAAAGTCATAATTATTATACTGAAGAAGATATGATGACAACGGTACATAATTCACCTACATCCCCAGAAGACACCTCCTTCACCAAGTTTAGACTGAGCTCTTTCGTGGCGCTCGCAATCAGCCCGGGGAAGCACAACCAATGTCACAAAATGTTCTTCTGCACGTGGCTTACAATTATACTTTTGTGGTCAGTCCACTGTTCTGAGAACACCAGCAGCTTCTTTGTTTGATTTGCAATTTTTTTTTGTTTTTCAGTATTATCTGCTTGACATCTTGACATCTTTCAGACCCAGAGTTAGGGCCGAATAATTTTGGGTCAGAAAAAAATTGCAATTAGACATTAAATAATAAACAATATTGATTTAAACTTTATTATTTTACGATGGCATTTTAGAGCCACTGTTAAAAAATAAAAATAATAGACTTTGACAATAAAGTCGTATTTTCCAGAATAAAATTGTAGTATTTAGAGAAAAAAGTTATATTTCAAGTTGTAGAATTACAACCTTAAAGTGGGATGTTACCAGGAAAAGTTGCAACAATATATGGCCAAAGGGTTTGCAAAAGGAAGGTAGCAACTTCCTTGTGTAAAATGAGGGAGTTTGAGCAGGAAACTGTGTTTATCTAGAATAAAGAGCCAGATGGACTCAGAGGAAACTGTCTGTCTGTTTTGTTGAAGGAGAATCGCAGGCAGGGTCGTCTACACGGCTATCGGGGGCTCCATCTCCCCCCATTCAAAGAGGGCATGAAGTTTCACAGACAGTGAGAATGATGATCAAAATGATTGATCCCGAAGGAGTGGAAGTCCAGCGTGTTCGGTGTCTTCGCCGCAGCCACTACAGCAACCGAGGGCCCAAAGCAATATGGAAGCCCCCCTTCAATTAGCCCACTTTATCCACCTTATTTACAAAATATTGTGACTTTATTATCAAAATCTTCTGACTGTATTCTAAAAAATATGACTTTATTCTCAAAATATTACAATTTTTTCTCAAAATATTACTATTTGATTGTGAAAAATACAAAATTATTCTGGAAATGTTACAACTTTATTCTCAAAATTTATTATTATTATTATTTTTTGTTAACAGTGGCCCTAGAACATCGCCACATTATTTTCTGTAAATTCAGCTATAGGCCTTTTTTTCCTTAAGAAGACCCTCACATCCATTTTTTGGTCTTGAGGCTTGAATGTTGAATACAGTTTGCCAGACTGAGACAGTTCATGACCTCTGTGCTTTTAGGTAAGATATCCCCACCTAAAAATTGCACAGTATTGGAAAATCCTGTTCTTTCACTTCTTTTTTTTTACTTTGCCCCTCTTTATACAAGTGGATTATCTTATATCTAATCTGCTCTGAAAAAGAATAACTTTTTGTTTTGACTGGAAATTAAATAAATGAAAGATTATGTCTGACTTTTCTCTGACTCTGCACAGTACTGTATATGTAAGTACCTAAGCCCAACCCTAAACCTGATCATAACCTCATCATAATCCCACATCACATCATAATGTTTTGGTTCTCTCAGTTTTATAAGGTGAAACTTCTGTAAAAATGTACAAAGTCTGAGAATTTGTCCTAAAAATGAACAAAAGACTGCAGATTAAACGTATCAGGAAACCAGCTGGAGTGCTTCCAAATGCAAACAAGTCCACTCGTTTCCAAATTATCAATGTTTTACCTAAAAATCTAATTCTTCTGTGGAGCCGCAACAGGGCAGTAAAAGAGCAGGATGCGGGTCTGGAGCCATGTTGCCGACCCCTGGTCTACTGACAATTTCAAATAAAGACTGTTTCATTTAAAATAAATGACTGCACACAGAGTACTGAGCAAACACACAGAGAAACTGAGCAGCGCAGCTAACACTGTGCACTGAAGCTAAACCAGGCGGTGATGTACAAGGTAGGACAATACGGTCTCTTTGCAGCCTATTTTACGAAGACACTTTAAAAAAATAACGTTTATACCTCGCTATTCTGTTCAGTCAGAGCATAACTGGCATATACAGACTTTGGTAGCAAATGTCAACTTTTTCGCCTCCGTTTTGTTAGCCTACTTGTCTCCATCTGTACCGGGGAGAGAGTTGTGACTGTGATTATGTGTCTTTAGAAACAGTCTAAAATCACACAGTGTATTGCTTTCGGGAATCTGCCAAGGCAAATGTTTAGAGTGACCACTGACTTTGTGTCCGACTACCACGGAGTCAGTAACTCTTCTCTGAGTGAGCAGTTCACTTCCAGCTTTAGTCATTCGTTCATTAGCCAGACATGTACATTCAGCTTACGTCACATGGTATCAGCGGGTATCAGAATGTTGGTATTGGTACAAGTATGAGTAAATAAGCAAAGTATCGGCCCAATACCCGATACCAGTATTGGTACTGATGCATCGCTACACTAATGTGTGTAATTTGTTGCAAAAAACCAATCACTTTGTGATGCAAGAGTCATTATTCATCCAATTCTTGGCACATTTGAACTGCATATTTTGTAACTTGAAGGATGAGGTCTTTCACTGAGAGCAGCTGTGTCCTTAGAATAGTGTAGAACGTAAGGACTATTCACAGAATGAACACGACTCCCAAATAACCCTATTAAGACTGGAGAGCGAGATGAACAGTGAGACTAAAGAAATGGGTAAGGGTTGGGGGGGGCATGAAGAGTGAATGAGAGAAGGCAACAGAAATAACGAGCTTAAAATTTTGTCTCAGCCTGAACATTATTGACAGCAGTGTCGACAGATCACTCGCAGTAATACTGATCGACTACAGTCCTCGCCAACGATCTCTCCCCCCCACACACATATGTCGCATTCACACAGCAGAAAAGCTCAGCTTGGGTGTCGTTTTTTTTAACCCAGCAGATCCACAAACCTCTGGTGGAAAGCAAAATCTTAAAAAAGCAGTCTGAATCAAGACTGAGGAGATATCGCTCCCTGGAAATGAAAAATAAAATCGGATTTGGCTGCCTGTCTGAAAGTAGCCTTAGACCTGAATACTAAGCATTCACTCTCTGCTTCAACCCACGCGAGTACTGTAACAGGTTTTTGCATTCAGGCGCAGTCACAGCATGTGTGTGTGTGTGTGTGGGAGGTGTGCAAGCTTCCTCACAGATCCAGAGTATGTAAATCTGGCTGCAGAGCTTCATTTCCCCAGAGTTCTCATTCACACTACTCTCCAACACAGACAGCCAAAGCTCAGAATATCCCTTTTTTCAGTGGCAATAGGTAAACACATCACTACCTCCTCAACCACTGCTGCAGATGTTGAACACATACCGGAGCTGTGCTGTAGCGTAGGCTGCTACCTAGCGAGGAAGGCAGTTAGGCAGTAAAGCTGACCATGGTTACGAAGAAAATACATTCAACGCTGTGATGAGAACTTCAACTATTTGCCCTTGACATCTATTTCTATAGTGCTCTCCTATAAGACTGGTTAATTAGCCTTTATCTGCCATAGTATGCTTTTAGATGTTGTAGTAAGAGAGCAGTTAGCTACAATGAGGTTTGTAGGATAGTCGCTGGTTGTCATCCTTACTATAACAATTTCTCTGGGACATAATATTTACTAGATGCGCCCCCAAATGGTAACTAGTACTCTTAACCTCTTATTGACCAGGGTATATTTTGGTTTGTCCATCTGAATTTACATGATCAAATCGTAAGGTAAATTATTCAGTAACTGCATGAAATGAATGTAATTTTTTTAAAATTATTTATTTATTTTTTAAAGCTCCACTCAAATTAACAGAACGTGTTTTATGATCACACATATTGCTATATGCTTACAATTTACTGCTGAAAGCCAAAAATCTTAGACGCTCTTTGTATTATTTTATAAAAATAATTTTTACAGAGCAGATCACTGAAGAGACGCCATCTGTTTATAGTTTATAGCCCAGATTTGTGGAAAAATGGGTCGACTTTCAGTAGAAAAAAAAATTGTGAGTTCAGCTTCTTTTATTATAAGGGTTTAAAATGACATCACCCATCTATTTGACTGGAAAGAAGACAGTTATAGCTCTCATACGACCCCCACCTTTAGAATGTAGCTTATAAAATATGAAAGTTATGAAGAATATGACAAAGTGCGTTTTGGAACCACCGGTGGTCTCAAGTCTGCAGAAAAACGAGTAGTGCGTGATTTTCTGTCTAAATCTAAAATATAACAATGGTTTTCCCGAGACCCGAAGTCGCTTAGTCCGAAGAATGATGGCGTCTAAGGATGTCCTAAAATATACCCTGTAGCCCCACCTAGTGTTAATTAACATATCGCTGCTGTTGGAACAAAACCTCGTATCTCCATTTTTGTGATTTTTCAGTGTTTGACATGATTTTAAAATGCCTGTTGTGTTTTACATTGTGTTTAAATTTCATGATGAATGGACCAAAATGACTAGGAAAAAATTCTGGTTCCATTGACTTACATTAAAAGTAAAGTAGGTTTTTTTCTTCTCCTGTAAAGTTACCATTTTGGAGATACAAGGTTTTGTTCCGACAGCAGCGATATATTTCGCATGTTCGTTAACTTGAAAACGAAAAAGCAAAGTGGGAAATGAAAAGTAAATCACCAGCAGGTGGCGCTTGTGTTTGTTTCCATTTGCCTTTTTATTATGGCACTTAAAACGAAAACTGAACCGCAACATGTAATTTTGCTGTTGATTTATCCATTTTACATTTTCATTTTCATTTCGTCAGATATGCAGCCTATTGCGTTTTGATCTTCATGAAGAAAAAGCAAAGCCAAAGTGAAGCTTGGATTTTCTTTTTTCTGTTAGCTTTTCCATTTTAGATACGGCCTTTAAATACCAGAGTAATGACTAAAATGAAATAAAACAGCTGTTTTATATTTGTTTTTTAATTTTTGTCACAAATGACTTGTGCTTATGTGAAACATTAAACAGCAAATGTAGCTACTTCATTTCATTTTCAATTCTGGCAAGATATTTGTGCAGATGTTTGGAAAAAGAAATGGCAAAAAGAGGTTTGCATTTATATTTTAGCGTTTTATTGTTTTCATTTCTTTTTTGGCCTGATTTGCCTCCCATACTAGTCGAGTTTCAAACCAGACGGAATATATCGAACAAGTTTGATATTTTCAACTCGACTCTGGGCGTAATCTGGTAGGGTATTCTTCTTACAGCCAATAAAAACTGAGAGCATGAAATAGATACAGCAAGTAAATGTGGGGCAGACATTCAAGTGTAGTGGAGCTTTTTATTCAGCTTAGTTTATGGTGGGAATACAGTCAAGTGCCTTTACATGTAAACCCTAAAACTACTACACTGATCATGTCTCCCATCAAGCTTCATCAAGTGTTTTTTCCCTGTTTTAAGTTTCCATATAAGGGATAATGGCATCTAAATCAACAGCAGCAGCAAATATCATGTTTCTTTTGCTATATGTGACTCCTAGTAACAGGCGGGTGTGTGTGATTGTGAGTGATCCCCAATATTTCAGTCACAATAAAAATAAATAAATAAAAATCACTCAGAGAGTGGGGGGATACCACGTCTGTTCATAATCTGTTAAAACTAAAAGCCGAGAAGTGTATCCAAGGCTCCATCTGTAGAGAAGTTTACAGAATCTTACAATAATAGCATAAGACGGTGCATTGGACCTCTCAGAGGACCTGAACCCAAATGCTAAATCTGGGACAACACATTGCACAAAGAGCATCGAAAGACATCAGAAACAGTTTCACAGCACTCACGTTTTGAAACACGGGTCTCCAGACATAAGATGGGTGCTGATGATCACCTGAAGCAAAAGATAAAAAGGGAAAACGACTTTGACACAAGAAACGTTCGGTCGATTTTTAAAAATATCCATGACATCGGACTCCAGGAAACGCAAGAACAAATCAATGTGTTTCCCAAATTAAAACTAAGGTCGGTTAAATAAAGAAACTAGGACTTGGAAACAGTTTTAATGGGAGAAAATGTAGGCTGTGGTTCGTACCTTGAGGATCGAATTGTCCTGCCTGGTGTTCTTGGTGTCGTAGCCCTCCAGCAGACACCGCCGCGTGGTGCTCCCCGAACCTGCAAACTCAGCCAGGTTCAGATCAGCAAAGCCCAGCTGAGCCAAGAAGAGCAAGAGCGCTGATTTTAATTAATACTTTAATAATGTAAAAACTCTCAGCCTGACATGCACCACCAGCCTATTGATGACGTCAGTGCTGCTCTGCCACGACGGTGTTTTTGTCGATTTTGTGGGAAAAACAGCGAACCACGAATTGCTGGGCAACAAGAGCTACACAGAACATACACCGGTCAGGGATAATATTATGACCACCTCCTTGTTTCTACGCTCATTGTCCATTTTATCAGCTCCACTTACTATATAGGTGCACTTTGTAGTTCTACAGTTACAGACTGTAGTCCATCTGTTTCTCTGATACTTTGTTAGCCCCCTTTTACCCTGTTCTTCAGTGGTCAGGACCCCCATGGACCCTCACAGAGCAGGTACTATTTGGGTGGTGGATCATTCTCAGCACTGCAGTAACACTGACGTGGTGGTGGTGTGTTACTGTGTGTTGTGCTGGTACGAGTGGATCAGACACAGCAGCGCTGCTGGAGTTTTTAAACACTGTGTCCACTCACTGTCCACTCTATTAGACACTCCTACCTCGTCAGTCCACCTTGTAGATGTAAAGTCAGAGACGATAGCTCATCTGCTGCTGCACAGTTTGTGTTGGTCATCCTCTAGTCCTTCATCAGTGGTCACAGGTCGCTGCCCACAGGACGCTGTTGGCTGGATATTTTTGGTTGGTGGACTATTCTCAGTCCAGCAGAGACACTGAGGTGTTTAAAAACTCCAGCAGCACTGCTGTGTCTGATCCACTCAGACCAGCGCAACACACACTAACACACCACCACCACGGCAGTGTTACTGCAGTGCTGAGAATGATCCACCACCCAAATAGTACCTGCTCTGTGAGGGTCCATGGGGGTCCTGACCACTGAAGAACAGGGTAAAAGGGGGCTAACAAAGTATGCAGAAGACGATTAGACGGTTATCAAAAACTGTAATATTGATTAAAATAGAACTTATTAAGGATTCTAGGAGGCTGTGACAACTTACAGTCAACGTAGTACCGATTACTTTTGCTGTCTCGTCAACTTTGTGACAATGTAGAAAAGCACCACGCAGACGACGCCGTGGGCACCAAAACAGTACATTGTCACAATGTAACTGTGTTTGCAGAGCCGTTAGGAATAAAACCTGATGGTTTTGCTTCCTAATGGGAGTTGGCTTGATGGGTGCCGTTAGAGGCCATTAGGAAACGATAAAATGTATCTTGAATCAGTCCCAAAACACCTGATTAAACGATCAGAATCTTTTACACTGTGAAATCAACCCATCAGGAAAACACAGAACACCATTAGCCACTACAGAAAACCACCAGGAACCAACAGACACTTTTAATGGGTTCTATGACTTTTTTCAACTGGGAGGTACATTAAATGTAAAAATGGACTAAGGGATGATGTTGCTAAGCAGCCAGAAGTTACCGTGCCGTTGGGCTGCTTGTACTCTCTGTGGCAGAGAGTGCGTGTGCACGTGACGTCACTGGGGCTGAGAGTGCATCTGTCTGAGAGTGCATGTCTGCAGCCAGACTCTATTGCATGTTGTGCATTTTCAGTCCTAAATTAATTACGGATACATGCGCACTCAGATTATCTGTTCTTAATCTGTACATAATGTGCTATTTTTTAGGTCAGTGGCATTAAACATAAAATAAATCTCTGCAAAAACTGATCTGACTCTGATTTTTCCAATACACTGCTATGTTACCTGTCTGAAGCAGAAGGCCGAGGCATTTCATTCACTGACACAGGATACAGCTGATCATATCAGGTTAATCTGAGACTCTATTTTCCATTTTTGCATGCTGTCCAAGTTATTTATTGATCTCACATTTAAAGAGTAACTACACCCCCTATTTTCAGCTCAAAAAATGCTCAAAAATGGGAAGGGCACTTTGGGAGGGGCGCTGCAGTGATCTACGGGTTTGGAGGTGGGGCTGGGAGGGAAACCGGGTGGGCTGGGAGGGAAACCGGGGGGGCTGGGAGGGAAACCAGGTGGGCTGGGAGGGAGACCGGGTGGGCTGGGCTGCTGTGTTTTATAGCTAACGTTAACTACCAGAAAATATGGAGAGTGACAAAATCAAATAGCACTTTTGACTAAAAGCTCTTAACAAGGATGACCATTTTTCTTCACCACCATCCTCATCTCCAACGGGGAAAGGTGCTTCTGATTAGGCAGGGTGTCTTTAGTCTCATTAGTCTACCAATACAAGCCACTGACTTAAGCCGCCGAAGAGTTAGCATCAGAAAAAGATGAGCGGTGAGTGAGGGAGGCGTCTGAATGGTACAACAGTCCCTAAAACCGTGATAGATGGCTTCTAATTATCTGTTTAGTCAAGTCAAGTCAAAGTTTATTTATATAGCGCTTTTTACGACAGGTGTTGTCACAAAGCAGCTTTACAGAAAAATCCAGGTCCGAGCCCCCATGAGCGTCGCCGATGGCGACAGTGGCAAGGAAAAACTCCCTAAGAGCAAAAGGAAGAAACCTTGAGGGGAACCAAGACTCAAAAGGGGAACCCATCCTCCTCTGGTTGTCACCGGAGAGCAAACAGTGTTAGTATAAAGTATTGGAATACAAAACAGGAAAAACGATGGTTATTTAGATAGTCTGAGTTTATGCAGCAGCAGGAGGGTCAGTTCATGCAGGTGAGGTTTGCACAGCTTTGTACAGTGTGAAGCTCCACGGTGGTCAAAACGGTGCAGATCAGCCAAACAGAGATGGAGCTCTGGTGACTCTAGCAGCTCTGGTGGCTCCCATGTGGCGACTAAGGCAAAACGTCGCTCAGGGGCTCAAATAAAGGGAGGGAGAGAGAGAGAGAGAGAGGGAGAAATTGATTAACAGGACAGGTCTGTTTATGGAGAGATATTAGTGAGTTAATAGTGCAGCAACTGATATTAGCAAAATGTTTGTGCAAACAGAAAAGTTTTAAATGTAGAGAGGGTGTCTGAATCCTGAGGTCGGGAGATGATTCCACAATTTTGGGGCTACATAAGAAAATGCTCGACCACCTGCTGTGGTTGCTGTCAGCAGGCCGTTATTTTGTGAGCGGAGCGTACGTGTGGGTTCATACATACATACATACATCATCTAAACCGCTTATCCTTCTGGGTCGCGATGGGGTGCTGGAGCCTATCCCAGCTCTCATTGGGCGGAAGGCAGGATACACCCTGGACAGGCCGCCAGTCCATCGCAGGGCAGACAGATAGACATACACAGTCACACACACACCTAGGGGCAATTCAGCATGTCCAATCAGCCTGACTGCATGTTTTTGGACTGTGGGAGGAAACCGGAGTACCCGGAGGAAACCCACGCAGACACGGGGAGAACAGGCAAACTCCACACAGAAATGACCCTGGTCGCCCGGCTGGGAATCGAACCCAGGCCATTTTTGCTGTGAGGTGACAGCGCTACCCCGTGTGGGTTCATATGACTGAATTTTTTCTTTTGTTTTACCCGATTTTCTCCCCAATTTAGTCGTCTCCAATTCCACCCGCTAGTTAGGACTCCCCCAATCACACAATACTATCAACGCTAGGAGGGTGAAGGCTAACACAGGCTTCCTCCGAGACCTGTGAAGCGCCACCGCTTCTTTTCGAACTGCCGCTCACGCAACGTCACTGGACAGCCGAACGCGCTCGGAGGAAAGCGCCAACCGCCAGATCTGTTACGTCAGCTAACAGACGCCTGCGCTGACTAGCATCGCGCTGAGTGATGGGGGGAGAAGGAGGGGCCATCCTACCCACCCAGAGAGAGCGAGGCCAATTGTGCTCTCTAGGACTCCCGGCTACGGATGGCTGTAGCATCACCAGGGATCGAACTCGCGATCTCCTGATGATAGGGCCAACGCTTAGACGGTTGCGCCATTCGGGAGCCTTCATATGACTGAATTAAGACACTGTGGGGCCATTTAATGATTTATACGTTAAGAGAAGGATCTTATACTCTACACCAAATTTAACAGGTAGCCAGTGTAATGACGACAGGACTGGGGATATTTGTTTAGCCAGATAAACATTCAGTCCTGATTTCTTGATTTCTGGTTTGCATACCGAAGTACCACGACACGTCATCCACGCCTATAACGTATCTGTTTGCACTATTTACTCTCTAATATCTCTCCATAAACAGACCTGTCCTATTAATCAATTTCTCTCTCTCTCTCTCTGTCTCTGAAATCAATCTCTCTCTCCCACCAAATGGGAGCCACCAGAGCTCCTAGAGTTACCAGAGCTCCATCTCTGTTGGCTGATCTGCACCGTTTTGACCACCATGGAGCTTCACGCTGTACAAAGCTGTGCAAACCTCACCTGCATGAACTGACCCTCCTGCTGTTGCATAAACTCAGACTATCTAATTAACCGTTGCTCCACCTGTTTTTCCCGTTTTGTATTCTAATGTTTTATTCTAAAGCTGTTTGCTGTCCGGTGTCCACCAGAGGAGGATGGGTTCCCCTTTTGAATCTTGGTTCCTCTCAAGGTTTCTTCCTCTTGCTCTTAGGGAGTGTTTTCTTTCCCACTGTCGCCACTGGCGACGCTTATGGGGGCTCAGACCCGGATTTTTCCTTAAAGCTGTTTTGTGACAACACCTGTCGTAAAAAGCGTTTTATAAATAAACTTTGACTTGACTTGACTACAGCAGAGCTGAACCACAGGGGGCTACAGAGCCAAAACTGACCACAACAATAATGATATATTTACAGTTTGGAAATATGTGTTCAAAATAAGTAAGGCTGGCATATTTTATTCTTACAGAATAAATTAAAAAAAGGTCTTAGGGCGGAGTTACTCTTTAAAACAATGACGAATGGTGGGGAGATGATCCCATGCACACAAACTCCTATCATTAAAGTATGAAGTTCTGGTGTTATCTAGTCTACCGATGTTTGTGCCATTTAACTTCTACTTGCTCTCAATCGATATTTTCCATTTCTCCATTATGGTCAAGGAAATAGAACAATCGATGCCCTGAGTTAGTTTTAGATTCATCAAACAAACACATCACCTCCCCTTTGTGAATGTTTTATTGGAGACCAAAATCATTTACCTTTGCGTAGGTTTTTCCACCTTTCAGTTCCTGTAGGAAAACAAGTCAATCAAATCATTACTAGCATCGCATTTAATATTTAACAACTACTGGATGACGCTTTAGTTGTTGTTGTGTGTGTAAAGGTACCTTTCTGACAGAAACACGACACACACAGGGATCGAGGACTCCTGTTCCAGCACTGGCGCTCATTTTGCATGGGAATGAGAACTTCTTCCTCCAACGTACACAGTTAGCCTGGACTGTTTCCCTATGAAAGAAACACATACACACTGTTATCAGCCTCAGGTACCTCTGAGGAAAAGAACACCTACCTGGCTTACGGCTCTCTTAACAGACACACGGCCCTAAGCGTCTCCTAAGGGGAAAGGCCACGCACAGTTTGCGATCCAGGCCCACGCAAGCAGAAATCAATCGTGGACGGCAGTTCTTCAGCCTGGCCCCGGGGGAGAGCCGAGAGTGACTTCTCAGTAAAGTAAATCCCAGCCAATCCAATACCGTTTGATTAGAGAAGCCTCAATGATCCCGACCAGTCGTGAGCATATTCGTTTAAGGAGACTGAGACGCTTAATTAGAGCCTGGAGAAAAGGGCCATATTGAGGACAAGGACTTAATTAATTTGTTCTCTGAAAATGTTCTGATTTGTGCTGGAGGAGTTCTGCCCCTTAAGAGGAGATAAGCTAGAAGGAAGCTACATCTGAAGATGAACACACTAATCTGAGGTTCACTGAGCTTCTACTGTGCGAAGAGAAGCAAGGGATCGAGTCAAAACAGTGGAGGTGCAACTAAATTTCAGGTTAAAGATCAGCAAAGTTAGCAGAAGTTCAGCAGCTACAGAAATACAGCCCCTTGTTAATCCTCTGAGCCCAGTTGCTTAACTTTAGCTCCTATTTCTACCTAATTTTCACGAAATTAATCATTTTTCATCATGTATTTTCCGACGTGGTCGGGGAGAATCTCTGAACTAGCTGAGAGGTTCTGCTCGATGATACGTGGGGGTAGTGTGAGGTTGAACTGATATAATTAATCAAAATTATATTATGGGTTCATGTTATTTTATTTGTACCAGAAGCTGTTTTAAAGGGGGGCAAAAGACATTATATTTTGATGAAAGATGACAGAAAAACAAGAATTTTGTCTTTTAAATGACGTCATACGAAATCGTGCTTAATACAGGGTGATTTAAAAAGATTCATCCGATTCCAAAGCGCCATATTTTTACAACCATCAGGCGTCTAGGAACCAATCACAATCCAACTGAAAAAGGGGGTCATAGAGTTTCTGACTGTCAGTGGAAGATGGCTCCCTTCAGTCTGAGAGGAGATGAGACCCCTGAGCAGAAAGCGTTCTGCGTTCTCCACTTCAATAAGGGGAATCCGTCATAACTGTGCAGTGGGATTTTCGTGGGCAGTGAAGCTCCAACAGCTCAGAGCGTTCGTCGTTGGTTCCACAACACTGGATGATCTCCGAAATCGCACTGAAAGAGCCGTGAGTGCAGCGACACCCGACATGCTCAATCCAGTATGGGATGAGTTTGACTATGGCGTTGATGTTGTCTGTACAGCTGGAGGAGGTTCATACTGAGACCTTGTATAATTACATAATAAACTTTATGCTCATTTAAACCATTTACAGTTCACTGCATTGATCTGTAATGATTTACAAAATTGAATGAAATCTAATTAATCTTTTTGAATCACCCTGCACGACCAGGGACATGAACTAAAAAGGTCATTTTGATTTCAGGCTGACTTTAACTGGTGCTAGCTAAGCCAGCTGACGTATTTCATGTGCAAGTTGGGTATCAACCTTCACGCTCTTCGGCTCACTTAGCTCTCTCCAGTGTTCGAAACACACACTTGACACACACTCGGCTCTAGATAAGTCATTTTCTTTTCTTTTCAATTCCTTTCCTTGGCTCGTACGACCACGTAAGCCATAATAGGCGCTGGCAGAACTGGCAGTTTTAAGGAACTAACCTGCCAGAATTCAGACGCTCACAACCACACTTAGTAAAATGGGTTTATTAACAAAGGGAGGATCCAAAATCAAGGTCAGCCAGTCCAAAGTCAAAAAGCCAGAACACGAAAACTGTAACCATGTCCAAAAATCTGAAACAAGGTCAAACCAGAAAGCACAACAATACTGAAAGGGCAAGGCAAGAGGCAAGGTCAAACAAACAAGTCAAAGGTCATACACGATACAGCAAACAGACAGATGGACAGCTCTGGGAACAAAGACAATACTTCACAAATAACCTAAGCTAAAGTCCGGGCTTATATACTAAACTAACAAACACAAGTAACAAGCAACAGGTGTGGGTAATCAATAGTCAGGAGAGGCAGACCGGTGTAGAGTCACGATCAGAAGTCTTGTGATCTGGTGTTGCATTCTGGGTAATGGAGTCTCGGAGGCAGTCTCGGGAACGGAGGGAACCGTGACATAACCAGCTGCTGCAGAGTCTTATCGGCACTCAGGTTTATACTTTCCTAGCTGTATGGGTTGATTACGGATTCCCTGTGTGCCGTGGGGATGCGACATGATTGACAGGCAAGAGGACACACCTCCTGTGTCCTGACTGGATAAATGCAGGGTGGTCCACTTTGTTTTTTTTCCCCATTTGCCGAGCTTGAGGCGGTCCCAGAGACAAGATTTTTACCCTTTTAATTCCTTTTTATTAAAGTTAAAACAAGTACAAGAAAAATTTGTATGGTGTGTGAAGTGGACGAGCAGGGAATAGCGCCAGGGGCTGCCCCTGCCATCTGGACATAGCACTGTAGACAAATATGTGTTTTAGCAAAAAAAAAAACAGTCTAAATCTGTTTTAAAAACAAACTCCGCTGATTCTGACCCTTATAAAGGCGAATTCTCACCCTCAGTGACGCCACTGGGCGACACAGCCAAAGCACTGCCTAATCAAGCAACTCCCATCCAGCTGAGACAGTTAGCTATTTAATAAAGAATTTAACAGGATTCGAGGCTCACGCCGTCTTTAAACTTTAATCCCATTATTCCCAGTGGTCCGACAACTCCGTTTACAGTGGATAAACCCACAGCCAGTGCTTAGCCTGAGCGATTAAGCCTCAAGCACTTTCTCACTACAGCAAAGAGCGATCCTGCCCGAACGCAGCAGAGCTCAGCACCTTCTATAACGGTTCAGATACCATGGAAACATAATAAACATACTCTTTCACAATAGAAAAAGGAACCAAGAAAATATACTTCCCATTTACCAGCTCAGTTTGAATGAGTCTAAACTGGTCCTACAATGGCAAACGACATACTCTGGTCTCTCTGTTTAAAGAGTAACTGCACCCTTATTTTCCATTAACAGCTGAAATGCACTGCACTGGAATAATAATATACACCAGCCTTACCGGTCAGGCATAACATTCTGACCACCTCCTTGTTTCTACGCTCATTGTCCATTTTATCAGCTCCACTTACTATATAGGTGCACTTTGTAGTTCTACAGTTACAGACTGTAGTCCATCTGTTTCTCTGATACTTTGTTAGCCCCCTTTTACCCTGTTCTTCAGTGGTCAGGACCCTCATGGACCCTCACAGAGCAGGTACTATTTGGGTGGTGGGTCATTCTCAGCACTGCAGTAACACTGACGTGTTAGCGTGTTGCGCTGGTCTGAGTGGATCAGACACAGCAGTGCCATCCAGCCAACAGCGTCCTGTGGGCAGCGTCCTGTGGGCAGCGTCCTGTGACCACTGATGAAGGACTAGAGGATGACCAACACAAACTGTGCAGCAGCCGATGAGCTATCGTCTCTGACTTTACATCTACAAGGTGGACTGACAAGGTAGGAGTGTCTAATAGAGTGGACAGTGAGTGGACACAGTGTTTAAAAACTCCAGCAGCACTGCTGTGTCTGATCCACTCATCGTTGGTTCCACAACACTGGATGATCTCCGAAATCATGCAAGAGCCGTGAGTCCAGTGACACCCGACATGCTCAATCCAGTATGGGATGAGTTTGACTATGGCGTTGATGTTGTCTGTACAGCTGGAGGAGGTTCAGACTGAGACCTTGTACAATTACATAATAAACTTTATGCTCATTTAAACCATTTACAGTTCACTGCATTGTTCTGTAATGATTTACAAGAGAAATAAATCACTTTGAAATCAGATGAATCTTTTTGAATCTCCCTCTATGTCTATTTAATGCTAACTAAGTTCTTTTTCTTGTCTTTAGCTCCTAATATTAGGTTTGCGACCCTTTCTCACAGCCTGCTGTAATCACACGAGAACAGCAGGCGCAGTAATATGAGCCCATCCCTGCCGAGAATGAGGATGGTTCAATTACAGATCCTGATAAACTACATGATCATGTATCGGTCGTGCAGTTAAGCCGAGAGGGCCAGGAAAGGGGTTCAGTCGAAACAAACACATTATTACTAACATAAACCAACCACTGATTCAGCTTAAGACTATCTAGATCAATTAAAGGTCATTACAATCTTATATGGTACATTATAATCTACATTATATAAGTGGTACAAGCCGCTCATGGTTCATTTTTATGGTTATGATGGAAAGCATTTCCTGGACCGATTATCCCACCCTGACGCTGGTCACAAAGTAGCCTGCTGCTAATGGCTTATTTGAGTCAGTTATTAGGGTTGACCGCAAAAGGAAAAGCACATTCTGCTTTTAATTGCTCCCATTATCTCAACAGAAAGCAACACTATTTTCTGCTTTTTACCCATCTGAGGCTCCATCATCATTCTGTTGGGTGATCAGGCTTCAGATACTCACATTCGCTCTCTAATAAAGCACTTTTCTCTGGAAAAATAGGGCTATAAAATATCATTCTGCCATTATTCTGCTGGGTTGGAAAACAAAATGGGCAAAACACATGGATAAACGTAATATTTCTAAGCGAATGGGACCCTCAAATAAAAAGAGCATCACTTCATTAACAGCTACCAGCGCTGCTCTGTAGGCGACCCTGCCAGTCTGCAGTGACAGCAGAGGAGGGTAAAGTTCAGCTCCTCACTGCTGGGCTTTAATTTAGGGCATCATATGCCTTCATAGAGCACTGCCCACCTCTAATTCTTGGGTAATATGAAGCCGAAGTCAGATATTCACCAGCTTCTCGTTCGAATTTTCCCGTTCCACCTTAAATGGAGCAGCAGTTACATTCTGGCGCTTCAGGCGTCAGAACTGCTGGACTATTTAAGGTGAAACAAGAAGTTTAGCCAGCTAAGTACTGAGACATTAGCGAGATTAGAGAG